GCACATTATATGGAGAAACCTTTATTAATGAAATGGTCCTCATTATTATTATTAAATTGATTAATTATATATACTGTACTGTATATGTAATGAATTTTATATACTGTACAGTACAAATGTAAATCCATATTCATCAATGAGTTATGCCTGCAAAGTTTTATTAAGCATAATTTTAAGTAGAATAAAGTTTAGAATAGAAAGTGGGTTATCTGAAGAGCAAAATGGGTTTAGAAAGGGAAAAGGAACTAGAGAAGCTATATTTGGGTTGAGAATTTAAGTGAATAAAAGGGGCTTTAAGGACCCAAAGAAACTTTGTACATCAGCCGAGTTGATTTTGAAAAAGCTTTTAATAATGTAAAGCACACTAAACTTACAGTGATCTTGGAAAAAATAGGCATTAAGGAAGGCGACATTAGAATTTTAAAATCTTTACTGGCAACAGGTGGCTGCTGCTAGTAAATAATGATCTTGTTAATTGATCCAGTTAGACGGAGTAAGGCAAGGCTGTAATATCTCCAACATGGTACAGTATGGGGTATACTATATACTGTATTCAGATTTCTTGGTGAGAGAAGTTATAAGTGATACTGAAGGACTAAAAGTTAATGGTAAAGCACATGTAATATCAAATACACACCATGCAAGGCATATTTACTTAGTGTGATAAAGCAGGAACCCTCCTGGAAATAAGCACCTGACAGCTTTGTTGGCTATCCTTGGTCAAGTTGCCTTACTGTTTACAATTGTCACACAGGAAACAGTATACTCCGATTGACTATATTCATGCTGAACTATATAACTGCATAGTTTATAGACATGCTTATCCAATTGTAAACCTGTAAGACAATTTTATTAATAAACATGATCATCCACTGAGTAACATGGCACCGGCTCAGGCAATAAGGTTAGACCACCAAGTTGACCGAACTCACTCTCTATGGCTCTGCTGGGAGCAGCGCACTAATGCCATCTATTGCACGTTGGTAGAACTAACGACCCTTGTGCTTTCCCACCGAATGGAAACTTGAACATATGAACAGACATAAATGTACATATGTACACACACAGTATTTCAAAGTAGCACCACTATCTCAAGCTAGTAAATATTTTTTTGGGGGGTAACAGCTAATTATTTTACTAAAAAATCAGCAGGTGAGTGTACAGTACAATTGAAAACACAATCTTTTTTAAAAACAGGAAATCCCAGGATTTAAGTTTATCAATACAATTTTGATCACACAGAGGGAAGGGCTTTGAAGTACACAGGTAATGCAGAAGGAAATTGTGGGGTAAAAACACGCCAAACAAAAAAGATCATCAAGAACTTAACCCAACAACTCAAGTATCATGGCCCTAGCTCTAGCAATTAAACAAAGGAACTTAATGTTTTTTAGTTCATTTGGAGTAAGTTTTACCTAACCCTTAAAAAAATTAAATAAAAATAAAAACATCTGGATACATGAGTCTTCCAACCTAACTCAACATCTTGACGACATAGCCTCCAGTCTTCCCAGCTGGGAATTCCTGGCTCCATAGCCACTTCCATAAATAAAACGGCCAATGATGACCTAACAGGCTGCTGTCATCATTAAAAGGTCCAACATGTGAAGAAAGATTGAATTTTTTTTAACTTCCCACTGTCACATGCAGAAGGTCGAGTACATATGAATGAGGGCAAAGATTCATTTTATGCCCGAACCATAAATTTATGACCGGAACTAAAATAAATTTTCTTTGTGAACCAACCTAACCTTTCCAACCTATATTATAACCCATTTTAACAAAATTCTTACCGTATTTATCCAATGGATGCACATGAAATGATTGTGAACCTGGATTTGTATGTAGTGCATCATGTTTACATTTAGTGGATGTGATCTGGAAACAACTAAGATACTTGTACAACATTGATGGACTAAGCTCACTTAACAGATTCTTATGGAATATTATATTCAAATTTCTATCACATGATCTGCTTTGACCAACCAGAGGAAAGTTCATATCTATTGAGATGTACAAATGCGCAAAAAATTCACCTATCCGTATTTATCCGAGTTATGGCTCTCGCGACTTTCCTAGGTTAGGTCAGGTTTTCAAATGTTTGTTCAGTGTTTCTCCCCCCCCCCCTTTTCTTAAGGTGTGGTGGGGGTAATACTGAAGCATGGCTAGCACCATAAGCTGTTTGATTTCAGTAATTTTTTCCACAGATGTTCTTTGGATGATACTAAGTAATAAAATTTTTGTTTAATTGTTTATAATTGTGTATATATATATATATAAATATATATATATATATATATATATATATATATATATAAATATAAATATAAATATATATATATATATATATATATATATATATATATATATATATATATATATATATATATATATATATATATATATATATATATATATATACACACACACACACACACACACACACACACAGTATTGACCCACATTTTTCCCCATCATCAAGAAGCCCTGCCCACTTTCTACAAATCTTGGTCACATCTAAAAAAATAAGCATTAGGGCAAAAAAATATAGGTCAGATTCTTTCAAATCATAATGAAAAACATAAGAAAAAGGCAGTGGATACTTTGCCATGACCAGAAGTTTGTAGTAACACTATTTTACTGCGAGTGCACTCTCATTAGCTAATGAAATTAAAACAATGCACAGAACCTATTAGAACCAAACACAACCACACCTAGTCTCCTAACCTGTGTATTGTTTCTATTTTCCTATCATTCAAACATCTATAGAATAAATGAACGCAGTGGATATTATGACACTTTCTTTGCCGGTAATGGACAATTAGCCAATTAGAGTGCACTCACTGTAAAATAGCATTAGTAGGAACTTAGCTAGTCATGGCAAAATATCCAGTGTAAGAAAAACTACTGTAAAAATTTCAGTCATAGATTTCGTGATCGGGCATAAAGTGACAATTTACCATACTGAGTGCTTAAAGATTATGAGCAACATATAATTTTCAAAATAGGCACATGAAAACTTATTTTAATAGAAGTCAACTCCACTATTATTATTATCATTATAATAGTAATAATAATAATAATAAAAAAGAAAAAGAAAAAAAAAGATCAGGAATGAGCATAAGGAAATATACTTTCTGCAAAAGTGGCTGACAACTGTAACAGCCTGCCTGTAATACATACCATACTGTACTGTAGTGGCAAACTCTAAATCAGTTACTAAATTAAAAAAGGTGGTGGATACTGTATTATGCAGTGACCAGCTAAGTTCCTACTAACGCTATTTTACCGTGAGTGCATTGATTAGCCAATTGTCCATTAGCAATGAACAAAACAGCAGTAAATTTGCAGTTTCAGCCCCAACCACAGTACTGTTTGACCATAATTTTTTTTTTTACCCATGGTCTATGGTGAGATTCATTCGAATTTGACCTCCATTTCCATTGGAAATGGGTCATTTTGGAGTTCTCATCTCCCCATAAAACCTCAACAAACTAACCAAAGAAACCTACCAAACTTCATAGCTGTCCCCGCCATATTAAACAGAATTTACTTATTTTGATATCTGGTACCAATAAAAGCAACTTTGTTGTAGCATCATGGTGTAATTTTACGTTTTTGTGGACGCATGAGTACGCTCAGACCGAGCGGGTCAGATGAAAAACAGACGACATGCGGTGACTGCAGATTTGTTAATTTCTACCGTGAATTTATTATCTCGGTTAATATCCATTTGCAACAGAAATGGTATTAGAAAAAGTTGTTCCTCTTGACTTGATATAACTAATGGTAATCACAAAATTGCTCAGAGAGAGTTGGGGCTGAAACTGCAATAACACCCAGAGCGCATTCATGGTAAAATAGTTAGTAAAAAAATAGCCAGTCATGGCAAAATATCCAATGCAATTCAAAAATAGGTCAGATGTGGTCTGGAAGACTCATCGACATAATAAATTTTTAAGCAAAAATATTTTGCAAAATGCCGAGACTGGAGCAACGCCATGACCATGCACACACACATCAAGAGCTGGTGACAGGCATAAGGCTTCTACCAGAAATTTGTCTGAGTCGTACGGGTAAATTCAATGTAGTGTTTTTTTCTTTTCTTTTTTACGGGTCAGCGACAAAGAGGCCTAATGGGCGAAAATATAAGAGTAACAATAAATTAAAAATAGAAAAGAAAAAGATTATATTAATCTACACTACGAAGATATAAAATTGAGATTGATATTTTTTTAGAAGACATTGCTGGACGATGCCAAGTGTTTTCAAAAGGTTTTACCATAAGTCACCTAATTGTTACACAAAAAAAAACTGAGGTAACATGCAAGGCAATTTGCCTACACCCATAACTGTATAGGTTTCTAATATGAGGGTGAAAGCTGCTATATTCCGGTATAACGAATTTTAAGCAAAATAAGAAACAACCAGAACAACTTGTAATTATCGACTGTTTAAGAGCGATTCTAAGACCAACCTTATTATTATTTTTTTCACTGAAAAGGCCATAACGGGCATTAAAACCCAGTTCATTTTGCCATAATGCTTCAATTAACATGACAAAAAAAAGTACGACTGATTATGCTTTAAAGTGCAAGCGTTGTCCACTTAATGACCTTTCAGAGAAGTGGTTGATTTTCACCATGCAGGCAAAGGGTTAAAGAAAATCCTTCCATGCAGCAAGAACAAAGTAGGTTATTGAACACTTCAAGAGTGACTAGAATGACATTTCTGAAAATTTGGGGACATTCCAAAATTTTACTATATAATAATTACGTAGCAATGAATAGCAAAAACGTATACTAATCAAAACCGCCCAACTTTATTGAGTTCATTTATTACCAGCGCAAAGATAAAGAATCAACACAGTCAAGCTGGAACCACGTTGGACCTGTGTCGTCGCCATGCTTTGCCATCGACAGATTTTTCTCGACTTTCAACAAATGTTTACGGTCTTATTGTTGTGCAAATGCATCTTCGTATGTTCAAATTGTACTCACCTCGGCCTGTTGTCGAATTTTGTTATCTACACTTAATAATCCAGTTAGAAGTTGCTGAAATTGTTCCTGATCACCCGCCATTTTCGCCGGGACCACTACGACAGACATATGATTTGGTTCCAACACTACTTATGCTACGACGCAACAGGGCCCCCGTCCAGGTTCCATTAAAATTAAAAAAAAAATATTGAATCGATGTTTCGTGACTACCTTTTGCATATAATTGAGAAATATTATTGCAAGCACCACTAATCATATATGCTAATAATGTAAAAAAATTAATGAATTATTAATGACGTATAGGGGCCTTTTAAAAGACTATTCCAGGAGGAACTCAAATTCAGTTTCCCGCGTTTTAGTTCAAAAGAGATAGTCCGAGACTGAAAATCTGGGCGTTTCAGAATACACGTGTCTGAGACGATACTGTCCCGGATTGTTGTTATTGTTTATGATCTTCGCGCGCAATTTCATGACCTGAGAAGTTCCTACTGTGTGTAGTATTATTGTCACACATAATGGAGACAGAAGGAGAAAAGGGTGAGATATATACACAAGTTCCTGTCTACAAATACAGTGAATCAGCGAAATTTGTATTTTACTATTTTCTCAATGTTATACGCGAAAAAGGATTCACAATGTCAATTTGGTACAATCTTCAGCCTGACAACTTAAAGTGTTCTGTATAATTATGTTAACTAAATACTGTGTAATTCTTAAAGATATATGCATTTAATTGTGCCCACTTTGGCCTATGTAATGTCTGTAATGTTTATTCATAGTGGATATTTTGCCATGACCGGCTAAGTTCCTATTAATGTTATTTTACCGTGAGTGCACTCTGATTGGCTCGGTATTTTCTGTTTAATATGAAGGGGGTCCACATCCCCCGGCTAGGAAGTTGGGTAAGGTTAGTTAGGTTTCTTTGGTTGGTTAGGTAGGATCTATTAGGTCTACGGATACACTCCATTTCGTCACCAACCCGGTTCATCACCAAAGAATCCACTGACAGACCGTTAGTCACTGGTATTATAGTGATAAATTGTAAGTTATTATTTTACACGAATAGAAATTACACATGTATACCGACTCGAAATTTATTGTGTTATTATTATACATGATTATTAATTATTTAATAAAGAAAACGATTAAAACATTAATAAATAAACAAAATACAGAACAAATGAAGGTATTTTTTCTTCACCACCTTGGTTGATTTGCAATTACAACTAGTTGCTGAGCACTTGCTAAAATCATGCACAAGAAAAGTAAATCATGACAAATAAGTCTGTCTCTGGAAGCTGTGGGATGAATATGAAGAAAAAATATCACCACTTCTAATTTCCTAAAAAAAGTCTGTCTTCTTCCAGGCTTGCATGAGTAATAACAATGCAGTGATATCCCCGTTAGCCGGAACAATTGGTGCAGAGCACTTCCATGAATGAGAGATTTCAGGGTAATAAGGTGACTCAGAGCCGTAAAAAAATCCCTCATCCCTGGAATTTTCCGGGTAACAGAAAAATGTTCTCGGAATTTCCAGAAGTTGCTCATTACATCATGTCTCGAACCCGGAAAAATATCCCTCGTCCCCCGAATTTTCTGGGTAACGGAAAAATTTTCTCGGAATTTCCAGAAAATGCATCTGATTTTCATCTCTCAAACCCAGAAAAATGCTCCACCATCCCCGGAATTAATCCGGAATTTTTTGGGTATTGGAAAATTTCAATTCCGGCTATCAGAGAATTCTGGGTTTGGGGGATTCCAGCTCACGGAGATATTACTGTATTGAAATAATTGCACTTTAGTTGTGGTTTTCTCAGGTTATAATGAAGTTGCCCTCACTGCAATACCGTATTAATTGAAATCGATGACCAGGATCCATTTGGATAAATGATTACAGTATGTGGTAACAAAGGAAGCACAGGGTCTGAGAAACAACTTTACTCCTGATGTTGTCACAAAGGACTTTCTTTGGTGTTTTTGGCCAGATGTGTGAAATTACAGCATTACAGCATTACAGATCACCTTGAAAATGTGAATTTCTCAATTCAGTGTCCAACGAGTCTGCTGAGAGCCTGGCAACTTCAAGATCCCGCCGAACTCTTAAAGATAAACATGGTCGATTTGCTGCACTACAAAGACTCAAGGATTTAAAGGGATCCAAACATAAATATGAAGTAAGTTAAAAAAAGGGGGGGGGGGGTAAATAATAAACAAAAGAGTGCTGTATTTTATTATTAACATATTTACTTTTTATTTATTTTTCCTTCTACCTGGCATGCTGTACACCTCTAGAATATTAGTCACCAGATGATATGCACTGATTAGATCTATCCTTGGAATTAGCGCACACTTAGTTGTTCCTCCCCATTAAGAACATATGGTAAGAATAGAGGAACTGCATTGGGCCTGTTGGTCCTACTAGGCAGCCACTGTTTACACCCAACCAATTTTACCCATGTATGTTTCCAGCCAATATGTAATTGAAACAATCCAACAAATTTGAGTTAAAGATGTTTGTTAACATGTTCCACTGAATCACAACTATTTCTAAACCAGTGTTTACCTGTTGCCTTCATGAATCTAAATTTTTCTTAATTTAAAACCATTTTGATGTGTTTGCTTTGCTCTTGATTTGATAGTTTTTAATACCTGTACAGTACATTGCCTTCATTTAACCTCATCTTCCCTTAACACAGAGTGATCATATTGCCACTGACTAAATCTCTCAAGTGCTTATCAGTGCATAGTACAGTATAATAAGCATAGTGATGCATGACAGTAGGCTTAGCTTGAAAATAGGCATTCAGGATCAATCCTTTGTATTTTACAGATTGCTGGAGTTAAGAATGTTTATGAGGAAGTAGATGAGCGTGAATATTCCAAGAGACGACAAGATCGCCTAGAAGAGGATTGGATTATTGATGATGGTAAAAATTCACAATTATCTAGAAAATTTATTTGTAGTATGCAAGTAATTTATATAGAATCAAGGTATGCTAGTTGCTCTAAGAAAGTGTGGTGTGGAAAATAGCCATAAAATGATGAGTATAGTTATACAGCGCTGGACTGTATTTACATCATTGTATTCAAGAAAGAGAAGTGCATGAATAACTTGTTTTGTACAAGCATTTCAAAGATGGTCTAATGATGGGAACAGTGTACCTTTATTTATCCCAATTGTGGTACTTGATTTCAGTATATTTTGTCAGGTTGCTCCCAGACTAAATGTGCTGTCAAATTTAGGTACAGAAATCGTGTGAAGGTTACCCGCCCTCTTCCTCTCCCACCTTTTTTCAACTTGTGATTAAACACCCTGACTGCCTGGGGAGTTGGGTTGAATTAATTAGATCATGTTATTCTATGTTATATTAGTTAATTAGCGTTGGGTTAATCTTTCTGTGAAATAGACTGAAGGAGCTAATCTTCACATGATACCAGGAGTGTATAAATTTTCACTTGATCTGTATGTTATCCAACTGAACTTATTTTTATTTTGCCATGTTTACATTTAGATAATCAACAAACTGCCCTGTCTGCTATTGGCCTCATAAAAGCACACCTTGGTAAACAAAAATGCTTCAAGGAATTCTTTCATATACAGTGTACTGAATTTGGATTTTAATGCAATGTAAAATTTATTTAAAAGAAAAATATTTTCTCAAGATGGTTCAGGGTATGTGGAAGATGGCAGAGAAATCTTTGATGAAGACAATGATGGTGACATATTCCTGTCAAAAAAGGGAAAAGCTAAAATTGGTAAAAGGTTTAAAGGATCCAGTGAGAAGTCGTCGGGGACATCAACTGTCCGGCACGGCTCAGGGAATATAAAAAACATGCTGATCAACATGCCTGCAAAGAGGAAAAAGGCTGAGGTATGAAAAGCTACAAAGTTATGTTTTATTAACTGATTAGTTGTGTGTTCAATTGCTAAGCTGTATATGATGAATTGCCAAGTTGAATGTGATGTGGAAATATTCCTCTTGTTAAAAGCAATATATTTTGTTATTCTCATATACTGTACGATGTTTCACTTATGCCAGAACCTCCCGTGTAAGGGGATTGGCTAAGATGGAAGAGTCTCCAGTCTGCCTTATTATTATAATACATGCATTCTTTCCCCTCTATTTCCCTTATTTCATCCCCTGCTCTACCTTTTCCTTCCACGATGTAGGCAGTGTCCCTCTTACTAAACATTTGTTAAATATATCAAATACTGTATATCCTCTTTATTCCATGTATCTCCTTTACATCTTTCTGATGTAAGGAACCATCCTAGTGAACCTCTACCACTCCACAGTTTGCATTGCCTGTCTTCCCTGCCATTCCAAGTGCCCTATTCACCAAACTATTGCCTATCCTTTCCATTCTGGTAACCCTCACTTAAATTACCTCTTTAGTATGAATTTTAGAGCATTTTGTTCCATTCTCAATTTATATTTCACTGCCAGAAGTTGAAGTAAGAATTATTTTACTGTCTCTGAACTCCCTCTTTATCATCAAACATACATTCCTCCTGTAGAATTCTCTCTCTCTCTCTCTCCACGTAGCTCACTGACAATTAAAATTATTTATTATCAGACACTTGTGCGACTTGATGATGATGATGTCCTCGGGGACATCTTACAAGACCTTGACAAAGAACCTGACACAGTCCGCCCACCACGACCTACCTTCCTCAAAAAAGAGAAGCCTAAAGCCTCTCCGGTTGCAAATAAAGGGCCAGTGAACCCTTTTGCCAGACCTCAGATCACCACTCCCATCCGAGCCAAGGCATCCCTTAATCTACTCAAGCCTCGCAGTATATCTGAAGAGAATGTTGTCAAGGGGGCTTCTCCTAGGGTACTGTTTGGATATTTATTTGGGTCATTATGTTGGGGGGTGAAGGATTCTGATAATCTTGTAAATAATTCAAGTACTGTACTGAATTTAATGTCATTTGTTTTTGAGTGGTCAGCAGCTAAATTTATATACAATACTAGTATCATTAATTACTTTAGTTTGTAGTAACAGCTTTTTTTTATAACTTCAGTGGTTTCTCTTTCACAGGCTAAGAGGTCATTGGACATAAAAGAGGATCCACCATCTCAGCAAATTGAGCAGTTTGATTCCATGGATATTATGGATGGGGACTTTGATATGGAAAATGTGAGTGTATGGTATACCTGTAGTACCTACATATACAGGTATATTTGGATGGAAAAATTCTGCATTTCTCCTCTAAGAATCCTACTGTGGTAATGACTTAGGTTACCGTCATCACTGGGAGAATTAATACAGACTGAATATTGGTATTACTGTTCACCATTTACACAAGGGTTTCTCTGGGAAGTTTGTGAAGCTTCATGGTCATTTCCAAACTTTGAGGAGTAGGGGGGTTAGGAAAAGAGAAAAGTTTGGGATTTGAAGATTTTTTTTTTTCCATAATTTTGAGTCCTAGAAGCACAAGGTGAGACTGCTACATGTGGCAATAATATAATGAACAGGAGTATTATTAGGTGTGATAGACTGAAATATGGATGTGTTGGGCCTGATACATTATAGTGCCTTGAGGAGTGCATTTAGTTATAGAATTTTTCTGAATAGAATACAATACATATAGGTTTTTAGAGGGATGGAATCTCAGGATTTGTTTCTAAGGATTTTCTTTATCATCATTATTCTATGGGGACACTTACACTGTAGGTTGAAATGTTTATTGAACTTAACTTTTTTATATCAGTGTTGCTGATCATAGATTTAAGATTGTCTGACAGAACTCTATCTACTGGAAGTACAGTATCTAGAAGCCTAAAAAAATGGGAATTTATTAGGAGAGCAATGTAAAACATGTGAAGAAGGCAACAGGAAAGTTTAAAACAAATACAAATACCTGTACTGGATTCTACCCACACTTGTTCATCTCCTCAAATAGCATACACAGTGTACAGAAAAAAATCTTTAGCCTCTAGCTTCCACATTAATTCACATTGCTTCTTTGCATACTCAGTTGAGTTGTGTGGCCCAGAAAATAACTCTATTCTTTATTCTTTTAAGATGAAGATAATTATTGAATGAAATTCTTGCAAGTATACTGCATATACAAATGAGATTGAATAAGAATATGACGTATATGTTGCTGATATGGTTGGTAGTAAGCCTTTGACTTACCAGTGGATAGAGTTAAGCTTTATAGTTTTAATACTGTACAGTAGTTGTATAGTCATTCAAAATTTAATATGGCAATGTTTTTACAGATGGAGGCATTGATTGTTGATGAGGAAATGAAAGAATCAGGGAGTATAAAAGAAAAAAAGATGGAAATATATGAAGAAAAGAAAGAAGAAAGGGATGATGGATTGAAAACTGACTCTAACAGAGGATTTTCAGCAAGGTGGATTTTTTGTTTTTGCTTTTCCATGGCATTAGGGGTATTGTTCAGAGGGAGTGAGGGAGATCGATTGAATGTTTTGTAAAGAAAGCCTATTAAGAGAAAGTGTAGACATGTAAGAACATTATTGAAATTCTGTAATCCATTTTTTTTAGCTAATAAGGCACTGTGCTGCTGTCCTATTTGTGACGGCTGCACTTTTTATTTCAATTTCAAGCAAATTTTCATACTTGGGCTTCATTTTTATGATATTTGTTTTATGTATATCTTTTCCACAGACCCAAAGTTGATGAAAGCCAACTAGCAACTGGATGGGAAACTATCAAGGGAGAGTTAAAAGAAGCACAGTTCAACCAGGATGTCCAGATTGATTCATCCCAGCTCCCTCTTACCACTAATGCCGAAGGAGACCAGGTAGATATCCCTGTTATTGGCTCCTATTGACCAAAATATTTTGGTATTGGGGGCAATTTGTGATGCTGTCCATCCATCCATCCATCTATAAGTACAGTAGATGGATTCCATACAGTAACTAAAGTTCTATAGGACACAGTGAAACCAAGCATCAGGCAAAATTTATCTATTTACAGTTAGTTCTTTGGTCTTGGTCAGGGGAATCAGCCATTTAATTTATGGCTTAAGTTAAAACTTATTAGAATGTTTAGATTGGGAGGAACATTCTCAGGCTTGTTGGCTCATATGTTATGTTAAATTGATCCTTGCTCTTTATTGAAGTGCTTGGTTGTTATCATCTTTTTCAGGTATACATGATATTAATATTTCAATAACAGTGTCTTTACCTATAACTAATCTTTATTTATCCAAATGACTAGAACCAGAAAAACGATATTCCTTCATGATGTTCATATGAATTCCACAGGTTTTGCGATTTTATTGGTTGGATGCCTATGAAGATTACTTCAAGCAACCAGGAATAGTCTACCTGTTTGGCAAGGTGTGGGTCGAATCAGCTCAGACCCATATCAGCTGTTGTGTCACTGTCAAGAATGTAGAGAGAAGAATATACATCTTACCTCGAAAAAAGGTAATTATTTTTTATGATCTAGGGGTTATCTCTTATCTTATTTCATTTATTACCAGGTAAATATTACTTTCTTTATTTAAATGCAATGAAAAAATACCTCAAAGCCTTGGTGTAAAACCGCTAAAGGAATGCATCAGAATCGTTTTAAGCCTGGAAATGAATTGTCTTGGAGTTTCAGAACACAAGCTTGTTTGGAAGAAAAAAAAAGGTGATCACTGAAATTAAAATCACTTCAGTACCAGCAGAAAGCTGACAAATACATTCATAATTTATTTATGTTTCTGATTCCTTCTTTCTGAAGTACTGTAACATGTTCTGAGCTTTTATATACTGTCGTTAACCTAAAAGCACAGGGCTGGTCCTACCTGTTTCGGGGCCCTAAGCAGGATTTTGTTTAGCCCACTCCCTTTCCTCATTGTACGCTGCCCAGTTGCATTCAAACTCATATAAGCCTAAATCGTTTATTTAAGGACATCTGAATTTCATTGCACACTATCACACATACATCATACATATAGGCACAATGTGCATGGGCAAAAACAAACAATAAATAACAGTAAACATTGATGTTATACATGACAAATAGTCATTGATAAATTCTATCTGCCCCACCACCACCACAAAAAAAAATATATGCTGTAAATTTTTCACACTGTATAGACAATTATCATGCTTTTGGCATTGGTATGCTTCATCGGCCCAGCTGCGAGCCTGAGCCAGTTTGAAAACCATTAGCCCTTTCGGGATTTTTAAAAGGGTAGAAATAAATTAGAAAGACATTGCTTAAGGACCCCCTAGAGATTGAGAGGTGCCCTAAGTGTTCGGTTGTGGGGTGAGCCGGCTCTGTAAAAGAAGTTGTTTCAAGAAATGTGGTGGCTGGAATATTTTTTCATGGTTCTGTTCATATTTCAGAAAGTTAATCTGAAGACCAATGAAGAATTGGGCGACATAACTATGATGGATGTTTATGAAGAGTTTGACTCCACTGTGTCAAACAAATTCAAGATTCTTCAGTTCAGGTCAAGGACGGTCACCAAGAAGTATGCTTTTGAAAAGTCTGAAGTTCCTCAAGAATCAGAATATTTAGAAGTCCGTTATTCTGTAAGTTATTCCTCGAAAACCATGTTTTCATGGGTCATTTTGTTTTTATAGTTCACCATTATGTAGAAAATTGTGGTGTTTGTCTGTTGGCATTACTGTATACAGTATTTGATTTCTGTTGAGTAACTTTCTTTATCCAGTTCTTGTCATATATCTTGAAGATTATTCTCAAAAGTAAAATAATGATCATACATTTGTTGTTGTTGTTTTTTCTCGTAGTTTCTGTGTTACTAGAGTTGCATACCGGGTATGTATCGTACTCTTTCTCTAAAGGTAGAGCTATTATGTTAACATGGCATGGGCTTTGCAGTTAAGTTATTGTTCTTATTATTATTATTAAAATTAGAGAGAGAAAGATAGATGCTACTAATATGTGTTTAATTTTGAGTTTGCTGTGTTACAGGCCAACCTTCCAGTTCTTCCCAATGATTTGCGTGGTAATACATTCAGTCATGTTTTTGGCACCAATACATCCCCCTTGGAAATATTCTTACTTGATCGGCAAATCAAAGGCCCGGGATGGCTGGATGTAAAGTTACCTCAGTTACCATCTCCAGCTGTGTCTTGGTGTAAAATAGAGGTTAGTTCATGTATCTGTTATAGAACTCAGAGAGAGAAAGTTGATAATCTTTCTTCCCTTTCTCTTCGCCGCAATGTTGCTTCACTCTCTCTTTTACAGGTACTTTAACGGGCAATGTTCGGTGGATTTGGCATCCTGTGTGCCACCGGCAAGGCCGTGGGCTCGTAACACTCGCCTTGCCCGCGATGCCCACCGTTTCTCTGTGGATGTTGATCACACTAGAATAACCCGTTATACAGGTTGTACCTCTCTCGTCCGGCATTCTGTGGTTCGGAACGATTTTAGTTTGTCCAATAGGTAGATAGGCAGCTTTTTTTTTTTTTTACTTGTCTGAATTATTATTATTATTAAAGGAGTATGAAATTTTTGCCCCTCAGGCCCCAATGTGGGTCAGTGACCTATGCCCGGGTGCGCTAATCCCCTTAAAGAAAAAAAGCCGCGGGAAATTAAGGTTTGTTTACATCCGGCAGTTCGGCTGCTCTCTCTCTCTCTGCTTGTCTATACAGAGTACAACATTTAACCCTTCAATATATATGAGCAGTAAATAAGTGTTGCTTTCATATTCTTATGTAGAGTAATGACGATATGTTTTCACATGTGCGCACTTACATACTCGCAGTCTCACTTTTTTTCACCATTAATGGTTAGCTACTTATATTGTTCCATTTATTAACATTAAATAACATTACAGGTACTTCAAACAACCATATTAATTGTTTTACATTAATTTTTCTACAGCTAAAATCAGGGTCTTATTTTCTTCAGTTTTATATGTAGAACCAATTAGTCACTGGTTTTGTAAGCTTTAACATAAACAATGCCGGCAGCCGTCTCATCTCCTCTAATATTCCACGTATTATTAACAAATTGTATTGTTAATTTTGCACACACAAACATTAATTCAATAAAAACAAATTCAGAAACACTAATTAAAATGTATATGAACAGTAAATAAGTGTTGCTTTCATATTCTTAAGTAAAGTAATGACGATATGTTTTCACGTGTGCGCATGCGCACTTACGTACGCGATCTCTCTTTTTTCTTTACCATTATCATTAGCTACTTCTATTATTCCATTTATTAACATTAAATAACATTACTTAAAACAACCATATTAATTTTACTACAGCTACAGCCAAGGTCTTATTTTCTTCAGTTTTATATGTAGAACCAGTCAGTCACTGGTTTTGTAATCAACGAAAACAATGCTGTGTCATTTCCTCGTGTGTTTTAATATTCTACGTATTATTAATGAATTGTATTGCTCATTTTGCACACATAAACATTAATTCAATAAAAAAGACACTCAGTAATAAACAATAATGAATCTTTTGTACATAAGATAAATGACGCTGTTTACACGATTATGAACGTCGTCTGCACGTTGGCGGGCCATTCAAACCCGTCGAAATTCAAGTTTCCGCCGTCAAAATTTTTATTTATTTATTTTTTTGTGTGTGTTCCAGTAAAATACGTTAAGAATTAAAAACTCGCAAAATTTGAGAAGCTACTATACAACATTTAACCCTTCAATATGTCTTCAAAGAGACCATGATGCAGAGAAAGTGGTGCTAGTGCTTCCAAGCATCAGCACAAGCCACTATCTATCCAGGAAAAGGGTGAATTTCCATGGTCCGGCACCGGTCAGGTCCCGAGGTTGCCGGACTAGAGAGGTACAACCTGTAGTACATCCTTCTTTCCTCACACAGCTAAACTGTGGAATGCTCTGCCTTCTTCTGTGTTTCCATACTCGTACAATCTGTCGCACTTCAAAAAGCTGGTTTTATGACATCTTCGTGGTGTAGATTAATATAATCTTTTCTTTTCTATTTTTATTTCTTTTTACTCTTATTTTTTTGCCCCCTAAGCCCTGTTGTGGGTCGATGACCTGTGCCCAGGTGGGCTATTTCCCGTTAAAAAAAATCAGTAACTGGTTTTTCACTTAAGATAGGTGGGCTGTATGTTGTTTGATCAAGTGTGACGAAAGACTTTCAAGTTCTGGAGATCAGGATCTTAAGTTGAAAGATGTTTGCACATATATTTTATTAATATTGAAAACAATATTATGTAACCAAGTTCTTGCACTGCTTTCAACAAGGTGTCAGGGAAATTTGCCTAAATTATGGTTGGGTGGGTTATGAACACTTGAAGTTGATGGTTTTAGTTAATGTTACTATACTGTTAATTACAATCAACATTTTGCATAAGAGTCAAAATAGCTTCCTGCAGAATGTTGTGACAAATGTGTTGGATGATGGACAATACCAAAATGGTTCCACTGAGATGATCATAGCTGAAAGTACAGTTTGTCTGCATTTAGACAGGATAATTGTGATTAAGTTCTCTCACAGTTTCACCAAACTTGAAGAAGAAAAAAAACTATATGTCTGAGTGAGACACCTATGACAACATATCTCCGAGAACTGGAGGGGGTTTGGGGAATTTTCAGGTGGGTCTTTGCTATAATTGCTTATATATGGAGAGAAAAGGATCTTAACATGTTAATGCTCGTAATGTTCTACATCCAGGCAGTGTCGTTGAAACCAGACTATGTGACACCAGTATCAGGTTTGGCTACTCCTCCTATGGTAGTGATGACCATAAGCATGCGGACAACAGTGAACCCCAAGACTTACCAGAATGAAGTAGCGATGGTGTCCTGTCTTGTTCATTACGAGTTTCCACTTGACAAAGCTCCGCCACAACCTCCATTTCAAACTCACTTTTGTGGTGAGTCTTAATACTATATTTATAATTGTAATAGGAATATTTTTCTCATTATTCTCTTTATCATAGAATATGCTTTACAGTACATTTACAGTTTTTTTATTTGTAGCCTTTAGTTATGTATAGCCTATAGATATGTATTACCACTATTCAGCATATCCTTTGGTTACGACTTCAAGTGCAGCAGTTTTGAAAGTTTCAAGTACGGTAAGTATTAGTATTATTCATTTCAATCATTCAGTTATTCTATAATGGAGGTTAATCCTCTGGTCTTGAAGTGAAAAGTATTTTTTGCTTCCTTGACAATCTAAATATCCTTTCCCTTGTATCATTTGCACAATGCATTAATTTACTGCCATTAGAAATTGCCTGATACAGTATTCCGTTTTTAGATTTCAGTGATATCGTTGTACACACCCAACCCATCCTCCAGCTCACTTACACAGACATTTCATTTTTGCCATTGTTTTGTTCTTACTGGTATAATGCATTCGACTATGGTGCTCCCTTCCACAATAAGACCCCATTCACACCAAATAATGTAGCACTGTCAGTCAGTTGTTTATCCTTCCCCCAAATTTATATTGAGTAGGACATCAGCAGTGTATACTGTGCAGATGTGTGTGGCCTGAGTGGTCAGGTTCAAATTGAGGGTAGAGAATGGAGAAAAGAAATTTGTAAATACAGCACAGTATAATATTAATTGATAGAAAGGAGAACAGACAGGGTATTAGTAGCTCTGAGGAAGAGCATACACAAATGTTATAGAAGTGATTATCATCTTGGTATTTAATGTTTATGTTATTTATAAATCCAGATATGTACCTCCATTGCTAACTCTATTCATATTTTCAATAGCAATGACACACCCAGTAGATGTTACTTGGCCCTGGGACCTGAAGGATGTTCTCAACAAACACCGTGTAAAAGTTGAGAAGATTGATACTGAGAGAGCTCTTCTGGGCTTCCTGTTGGCTAAAATATACAAGATAGATCCTGATATTGTCGTAGGTCATGATTTCTTTGGATTCGACCTGAGTGTGCTGCTCCACCGTGTCGGTATTAATAAAATTCCTCATTGGTCTCGTCTTGGTCGACTGAGGCGGACACAAATGCCAAAGTTAACGGTTAGTATTCCTTATTATCTTTGAACATTAATATTACAGTCTGAAATTTTATATCCCTGTACTGTAGTCACCTTAGGTATGGAATTGCCTTAAAAGGGTTTCCATTTTTTTAATGCTCTTGGAGGGGTAGCAAGTTCTTGTTATGTGAGCCCCACAGTTTCTCATTAACCACTTGTATACAGGTTTCCTTCTGCTGAAAGAAATCATCTGGTGTTAGCCAAATAGAATATTATAAGTGGTGTCCCCAGAGTGAAGGGGTTAACAAGATTTTAACTGGATTTATTTTTATTTTATTTTATTTTTTTTATTTTTTTTAATAGGCTGCAGATATGAATTATTGTTTATAGATAGATGTGAAAAGGATAATCTTATCATCCAGTTTTTCTAAATGTATCTCTTAACACAGGGGAAGGGATTTGCAGAGAAAATAGCAATGTGCGGTCGTCTTGTTAGTGACTTAAAGATCTCCTCTAAAGAGCTTATCAGAGCCAAAAGTTATGATCTGGGAGCATTGGTCTTGCAAGTTCTTCGTGTACCTGTGGACCAGTTTAAGGCATTAACTGTAGAAGAAGTAAAAAAGATGTATGAGTAAGTATTTCTACAATGGAAAAGATGCTTCAGCTTTGTACATTTACCATAACTTGAGATTTCACTTTAGCTGATAATATTATACTTGTTTCATAGAATATCTCAAGTCTTGTATAGATGAGTGACTAATTTGTCATTTGCAGATCATCATCAACATTACTTCAGCTTGTGTCACTAACCATGCAAGATGCGTTGTATGTTCTCCGACTTATGTGCGAGTTGAATGTACTGCCTCTAGCTCTACAAATAACAAACATAGCTGGTAAGAAATACATATATAGATATTAAATTTGTAGGCAGCATATGGAAGTTGAGGGTATAAGAAAGTGAGTGAGGTAATTCCCCCCTCCCCCCTCCAATTTGTGCGGGTGTGCTCTACCACTGGCCCCATATGTTGTCTCTGTATTCTTGATCCACTATACGGGGTGCATTATATATAAAAGTAGGAGTGGAGTAAAGATGGACTAGGAATGTCATAGTAGAACATGTGTTATAAGGCAACCAGGGCAAATGACAATGTGCGATTGCCTGTGCTTCTCTTGATTCTGGCTTCCCTGTGCCAAAGCACAAAAGGGTGATAAAGATAGAATGTTTCAGGGTCATTGATGAGTATGTGTTCAGTAAACCTCTGGTCCATTGCAACCCACTCCTGGGTTGCTTCCAACCAATTGTGCAATTTTTGCTCTTTCATAAGAAATTACAGTACTAAATGACTAATCATGCAGATTAGATCAGGTTACACTAAAATCCTGGATGCACTCTGGAGAGCAAGACACTAGCCAAAGCTTTGCCCCTTGGCCTCTTTAGAAAACAGCATGCTTGTGTCAGTCTTCTGATGCCTTCACTGAAGTCATTGATCATTTCATATAATTCATATTCAGTGTTTCTGAATTATAGCTCATTATTAATCTTAAAATGATTATATTTGAGAAAAGAAGGAGATATGGTTTTACCAGCAATTCTGTATGAAGTTAGAAGTAAGGTTTTTCCCTGGGATTTGTTATTCTCATCAGGAAGGTATGAAAATAAGCTTAGTTATCACTTTACCATAATGTCCTTGGCAGGCAATATATAGTACAGTATAGCAGAGGTATTTGATATTTATTAAATATTATATTTTCCAACAGGAAACATAATGTCACGTACACTACTTGGTGGTCGATCAGAGAGAAATGAGTTTCTCCTGCTTCATGCATTTACTGAAAAGAACTTTATTGTTCCTGACAAGCAGTACAGCAAAGCCAACCAAAAGGTACTTTAGTTAAGTCCTTTGTATATCAGACATACGTGTTATTTTCATTTCTTGTTGAAGTAATAATTAACATATACTACTACTAGAAGCATTCATGGGAGTTGAAACAACATTCAGTATTACTTTCTGTATGTTATCCAAAGTCTTTTTAGCCTTTATTAATTATTGGTCATTTCTGTTTTATTGTGACTTGTTCAGACTTTCATATTAACTCAATAGGTTCCCTCAAATGACAACAAAATTGGTGAGGAGGAAGATAATGAAAAGGAGGGAAAGGGGAAGCGAAAACCTGCATACACTGGTGGTTTAGTCCTGGAACCTAAGAAGGGTTTCTATGACAAGTATATCTTGTTAATGGACTTCAACTCTCTATATCCAAGTATCATCCAGGAATACAACATCTGCTTTACCACAGTCCAACAGATGAATGGAGAGGTAATATTTTAAAATTTACAGTAGGTGCTTTTAATTTTTATAGCTGCCCCCATTGTGTAGCATATGAAGTGACAGCTAAACCAGATGGACAACTTTGGGCTTTGTTTTGGAAGGGGCTAACTAGTGCAGAGTATATCTTACAACAGTTAGTGAGAGTAACCAATATTAAATGAAGTAAGATATAAACTGTACTGTGTTTGTTCCTGATTCTGGCTACCCTTCATCCCTTTATCATAGTGGGAAAGTACTTGCAGGATGGACTAATCAATCTTGAAAGGAAACATTTTGATTTGCTGCCCATGAACTTCTGTCATGTCCAGTGTTTTGTCATTGTAATTGTTATACTGTAGTTACTGTACTTTAATAAGAGTAGCTGGACTTGTTTATTATAGCTAGAGCTGTAGATGATGTACTGCATAATTTTTTTTTATATATATAACCACAAGTGGAGTGCATAATTTTAGTTGCTATATCTTTGGGTATTTTCTTCCTAGAATTGTTACTTTAATTGAAATCAAATATAAATGAAGTCAAGTACACATTAATAATCTTGCTTTTCCCATTTGACAGGCTAATGAAGAGTTACCAGCACTACCAGATCAGGAATTGGAGCCAGGAGTGTTACCAACAGAGATTCGAAAGTTAGTGGAGAGCAGGAAACAAGTCAAGCAGATGATGAAGCAGCCAGATCTATCTAATGATTTGAAGCTGCAGGTTTGGGAATAATTGTTTTACATACTTAGAGAATGTAGTTAAGCTTTATCCTTCCCATCTCTCTTGTTAGCTAATTTCTTTTTCAAGCCCAACCCTCAATGACAAGAATTTAGTATTAAGTAAAGCCAAACTAAAGAAGTTTCATATAAGAATTCATAATACAGAAGTTACTATTTAGATCATGACTGATATTTACATAAAGGATATCTCTTGATGTATATAATGTTTATCAAGTATAGTTGGGCCGATACACCATCAAACGGGACCCTTTCAATATTTTGTTCATATTTAACTCTTTTCAGATAAATTAAAGCATCACAAGATTGAATTGATTCAGTCATAATCATTTTAATTCATAAGTAATGCTGCAATTGCTAGATATATCTTGAACTGCAGCTATAGTCTTAGAAGGTAATATTTATTTACTTGTGTGTATGTGTTTATATTGGTCATGTTGCTTATAATATGTGTAATGTGCTATAGTGCAAAAATTTCCTATAGGCTAAAGAAAAGGTTAAGTATGAATAATATGTAACAGAAGGATATTATAAAACGAGCTCTTTTGTGACACATTTTGAGAGTGAATGGGATGAAGAAATTATGAATTGTAAAGATAAACATTTCTAATGGTATTGTAAATAAATGAAAAATGGGTGATTGAGTGTGGTTATTAGTGCATGGAGAGATTTACAATAGTGAAAAAAAGAGTTTCTTGGTGAAAATTGGTACATTTTTATTGGATCTGATATAGTGTATAGCTACAGAAGTATGCATTGGAAAAATCATTTGCCCCAGAAGACCTCACATGATCCCTTAATATACAAACATGTGTGGTGAAGATATTCAAGACCAGGCTTTAAATTGTTAGTTGAAACAGTTTGTGTTAAATTGCAAAAAAATTGCAGGTCGACTATGCAGTATTTTTTTTATTCTTGGATGTCATTTATTAATTATTGAATATAAAGTGGAGGTAAAGAATTGTAGGTTTACTCTGAATTTGGGATATAGGTACAGTAAACTATTGATTTGGATGAGTTATATATAAATGATTTCTATATGTTGTTGTTAGATGCGGAACATGGTGAAACTTTGAAAGGAAAGAAAGTAGGCAGTGTTATATTAGCTCTTGAGTTCCTTCTTTACCTCCAGGCTTACTGTACTTAATTTAACAGCCAGTAATATTCCCCACAGTATGACATCCGACAAAAGGCTCTGAAACTGACAGCCAACAGCATGTATGGATGCCTCGGATTCTCCTTCTCCAGATTCTTTGCACGTCATCTTGCAGCTCTGGTGACAGGTAAGAGGGTGGTCAACACTAGCAAATTAAAAAGAAAAGTAAATGTGATTAAAAATGAAAACAAAAAACATAAGTGTGTTTTAAGTTAATGAGATTGATAAATTGTGCACGTTTCAGAAAAGGGACGAGATATTTTACTGAACACGCGGGACCTTGTTCAGAAGATGAATTTTGATGTTATATACGGTGACACAGACTCCATCATGATCAACAGCAACTGCACAGATTATGACCAGGTTTTCAAACTGGGTCATAAAGTAAGTATTTATTGTCTTATTTTTTTACAGAATTGCTGTAATTTTTAGATCTGCCTGTGCATTCTCTTTAGAAAATATTTAATCCCAAGGCTTTGAGTCCACTACCTGCTGTCAGTGCTGTATCTAGGTTATTATCTGACTACATTAATGTAAATGTTTCTTCTCAAACAGACATGAACACATATACATTGGTAATGAATTTACAATTTCTCGTATACTGTACTATATTCAGCTTTAGCACTGTATATTAAAAAAAAGGGGCACTGATAGTATAATCTGAAGACAATGAATATTATGTGTACCCTATATGTGTTTACAGATGTTTCATATTCTCGGGGTTACAGATTTAATCATCATAGACTTGAAGATGAGGTCCTAGTACAGTATTTGTTTTAATTCCCAATTAATACTTTAATAGATCAAATCAGAAGTCAACAAGCTGTACAGGTTATTGGAACTAGAAGTGGATGGTGTGTTTAAGTATATGCTCCTTCTCAAGAAAAAGAAATATGCAGCCCTCACAGTCACTAGACTTCCAAATGGTCAAGTGGTGGAGGAACAAGAACTCAAAGGTCTAGATATTGTGAGACGTGATTGGTCCCAACTTGCATCAGATTGTGGAAAGTAAGTTTTAATTAATAATGGAGTTTAGATTCTTAATGTTTGAAGTGTGAAAAGTGTAATTATATTAATGATTAAAGAGAAATAGAAAGATTGTGTGTGTGTGTGTGTGCATGTACTCAGTGTATTGATTGATCGTGGTTTGTGTAATATTTACATGGGCTACTATGCAGAAAATGGCCCATTAGGTGAAGGAGAAGTTATGGATAAATGATTTGTTGATATTGTATCTCACAACTTTTGTATTCTCTCCACAGGCACATTGTGTCACAGCTTCTCTCTGATCAAGGTCCAGATGAACGCCTTGAAAATATCCATATGCACTTAGAGCGTCTTAAAGCTGACCTGGAAGCCAGCAAGGTAATACAGATATCCCCCACGTTACAGAAATTTGTCCACACAGAATTTGTAAATTATGACCACGGCCCGTAAATTTGATCTTACGGAATGGGGTAAATTTTCTTAATTTTCAACACAAAAATCACAATATAGAAGGAAAAAAATGGCCAAAATTATAATTAATTTAGTGTGGGTTTCTTGGTGTTTGCTATCACCAAACGTTGGTACGCAGCATTCCCACACCACTGGACTCCGTTTGTTTATATCTCCCAGTGTGTATGCTTGATGTCTTGACCCCAGCTCTTGGAATTAACACTTAGGCACATATCTTATTCAAGACTTTCCAGTGTATTACCCATATTCAAGATTTGTGGAAAGAGGCCACCAAGTGCAAGTGAAAACAGTAGTACTAAAAGAGCTCGTAGAGGAATTGTTATTTTGGATACAAAACTTGATGTTTTATGGAGGTGTGATGTGGGAGAAAAACTTAGCTGGGTTAAGAAAACATTAAGGCTTGCTACATCTCCCAATAACTCCCATCGCACCACCTCACCTCATGCAGCACTACGTCATTTGTGGCGAGTTAAATTCAAGGGTTTTGTGTATTATCATATTATATCATAATATAATGGAAGTTAATGGGAAAATAGAGTTCGCATTACAGTCAACATTTTAAGGACGCAACCCTTCCGTAACCTGGAGGATTACTGATGATGTGTTGAAATTTAAAAACTAAATTGGTGTTATTACATGTATTTTTATTATTCAGTAGGTACTGTACAGTGATTCATATCCCTCAAATCCACCAATCAACAAAATGATGTGAAATCAATGTCTTTCACTTAATGTATTGCATTGAAGGTTTTGACACTTTTCATTTGTAAGTACTGTACGGTCATTCAGGCACCAGTGATTCCAGATTAGCCAGCTGGTTTGGCAACTGCTGGGTGTCAGTTGGTGTTTATCTTCTATGTAGTGGGGAGCTGTGAGCAAATGTCCACAAACTCTTTTGTCCTTTAAAACTTTTAGCCTATTAAAAAGTGTTTAAAATGGGTTCCAAGAATGGAAGAGTGGGGTAAAAAGAAAATGTGTGTATAACTGTTTCAGTCAAGTTAAAAATAATAGATAATCTTGAAACAGGTATTGCTGGAACAAAGATCATGTAGGAGTTTGACATATCTTAGCAAACAGTGTCTGATAATCAAGAAAAATAAAGCTATTTGCATTAAAGTTCGATGTCAGTCTTTGTATTTTAGTGTCAACAAGAATGACTTAGAAACAGCCAAAAGATGTTCTCTATCTACTATTGATCATTTACAGGGTTTATATTAAGTATAGTAATATTTTGGGTTGAATAGATTTATTATGCTTTATTTACACTGAATAATGTACTGTAGATTCTTTTCTCTATTTTGAATAATCCAGACTTTTGGCTAATGTGAACACCACCTCTCCCTAGTTAGTCCAGATAACTGTGGATTCACTGTACAGTAATAACTTTACTTTACCCATTACCCTTTTTTTATGGAGATATTAAACACATAATCTTTAACTTTTCTTGTTGACACAACTTTTTGCTACAATGTTGGACAGTTTGACCTTGGGACTCTGGCCATTACCAAGACTTTAACCAAGAACCCAGAAGATTACCCTGACAAGAAGAGTCTTCCACATGTTCAGGTGGCTATTCGTGTGAACTCTCGAGGAGGAAAGAAATTGCGTCAGGGGGATACTGTAGCTTATGTTATATGTGAGGTTAGTATGTTTGCCGGTATTCGATATGAAGTAGTTTATGATACATTGTGAAGTTGGTGTTTGTGCTGATATTTGATATACAGTTGTATCTGTTACATGGAAGGTGAGGAACTGGATAGAAAAGTACAAGTAGCAGAAGGTGACTGGGGACAGAAAGTAATTTGAAACTTTTGAAGGATATAAAGTATGTTGGGTCTTAGTATGTGGTGGTGTAAGTGATGCCTTAGTAAATTGTCATTAGGAGAAAGGAGACTACAGGAAGTCTGCCAGTTTTGGCATCACCAATTGACTCCTTTCATTGTTTTTCCAGGAGCGACTGAGGCTTATAAATTTCTGCTTAATTTGTCAGGTCAAGATTATGCTTCTAGGCAAAAAATAAAATCTTATAAGGGACAGAAGTGCTTTAACATCAAAATTTCCGGATTAATAAAAACTGTGCCATGCAGTCAAAGGCTGGTAATAGTTAAAAAGAAAAATATTGTGAGTAGTGTATGGGAAGATGACAGCGTGGAGAGTGAATGGATGAAGGATAGGTTGTCTTTGTTTTACATTTTGGCCACCTTGCAGCAAAAAAATAAAAAAATAAATAAATGAATGCCTACCCTGTAAAATAGTCCATCAACCATTAATAATATTATATTTTCCATTCTATAGGATGGCAGCAATTTAGCTGCAGTTCAGCGAGCTTATCATGTGGACGAGCTAAAATCCAATTCATCCTTGGTGATAGACAAGAAATACTACTTGGCGCATCAGATTCACCCTGTTGTGTCTCGCCTTTGTGACCCCATAGAGGGGACTGATGCTGCAAGAATAGCCGAGTGCCTTGGTAGGTGGTTGCAATATTAGTTTAGATTAACTACATCTCAGAGGCAATATATATTTGAAACAATGGTAAAGTTATTGATGCTGTATACTATACTAACATAGAGCTTGTCTTGCCCTACCTATGTAAAACAGAGGATATTGCTTTTAAGGTGTGTGTGTGTGTGTGTTTGCCTTTTACATAAAGACTTAAGCTTCTGGTAAGAGCAAGACTTAGGAATGATTGTAACTTTTAAATGTTTTGATGAATAGAGAAGGGGAATATTTTATGTGGTGCTTAGGGAGTTTTTCAAATGTAGTAGAATACTGAATAGAATGTCTGGATGCAAAATCAATGAACAAAATTGTTTGCTGTTATGCTGCCTTTTAAAGAAGTGGTAGATCAGAGAAGCAATATTACACATTGGTAACTAATTAATAAAGTTATTTTTCGGTCCAAATACAAGTACTAGGACCGAAACATACCAGCTCCCAAGATTTCACCTTTTATTTCCCCAATGTGGGTTTTTACTTAATTTACCAGTTTGGCCATTATAATTTCTGAATATATATAAAGATGTGACTAATGAACTGCATACCTTTCCACAGATTTAAAAAATATATAGTATATATAACCTTATGGCTGAAAATACACTATGTGTTTTGATAATTTGTCAGTTTTATTAGTTTGTATTTCCTTAATCCATAGGCCTGGATCCTTCTGGATATCGAGTTTCAAAACAGTTTGGACAAGTTGAAGAAGATGATGATATCTCATCCTCTCAGGTTTCAGATGAAGAGCGATATCGCATGTGTGAGAGGTTTACGTTCAAGTGCCCATCTTCAGAGTGTGACACGATTATTACTATGGACTCCGCTTTTCGTGGAGTGGTGGGTGATATGTCCTTTTATGTGATACATGTGATATAGCAAATATCTCATTAGACAGTCGAGCTCAGCACATTGAGGCAAATGGATTGTCCTCTTTGTCTTCTATAAATTACAGTGCCAACTCATCCTTGCATAGCTGTACCAGGGTTTATAAATCAAATTATCCTTCCGAGTATTACCATTCTTTTAAGAAATTTAATGGGTTAAACCTAAAGGTTGGGAATAACTTCAGAGTTTTCTTAGGCCATCCATGTGCTTTAAAAATACTGTAACTATTTATGATTTTGCATTACCAAAAACTTTCTTACCTCTGATATGACATAGTTTATATCTCATCATAGGTTTATTGTAAAATTGAGACAACTCATGGATATGTATAAAATAAATTGAGAGCTATATACCTTCCTAGGTGAACTCACATACTATACCCTTTTCTCACTTTGTATAATAGGGTGTAGTCTGAGAAAAGGTTCTACAAGGGAAACACAGATTTACATATCAGATGAGGGAGAGAAGTTATGTGGACCTACTATTCAAACTTCTCCCTCAACACAATTTTCTGCCAAACTATGCTTGGCTCCTAGTAATCTTAGCTGCACTGCAATGCAAGTGGCCTTAATGTTTTTCCTTGTATCTAGTAAATATTTCTTTTAATTATAGCATATTACTTATTTTTACATACATTTTGTGGTAATAGCTTTTATGAGGGGTCTTATATTGTAACTTGTGAAAGGAGCAGGAATTGTCATTTATATTATTTATGTACACATGACATCTTGGTACCTTATATCACACTAAGATGGTTACTTAGTCTCAAACTGATATGAGGACATTATTGTTCTTATTTTTATCTTCATTTTCATTTTGTTGTGATGAACTAAGGCATGTACAGTAGCAAAAAAAAAGTTTGCAACAGGGTGGGTCCGATGACATCTGAAATTATACGTACAACTCGTGATGTCTCGGGAGGGTTGGCATGCATGTCTTCACCCACTGTCAATCAGTATCCAACACGGGTGAGTTGGCATATAGGAATAAAATAAACAGTTAAGTGATTACTATCACATAGTATAAAAAGACAACACCCATATCCCAATACCTATAATCTGTGTTTAACACACAATATGCACATACTTTTTTTTTAGCTACTGTACACATGACTGCTTTCTGAAGGTCAATGCTACTGCTAAATTGATCTATAATCTGGGTTTGCCTGGGAACCATGGATAAGGTTATCTTTCTCTTAACCTTGGTTAAAATTAAGGTTTCTATTCAGTCTCATATTCTTTTATTTTCAGGGTACTGGTTCCAACCTAGAAGTGGCCTTGAAAAATTGTCCAAATCCTAAATGCAAATTTGAAATCTACTCCCACACAGCTCCAATTCTCAATAAATTAAGACTGGACATAAGGAATCATATTAAAAAGTACTACAGTGTAAGTTCACTCTTATTTGAAGCAACTTGCACTTCATATAATATGTTCATTAATTAAAAATTAAATGTGCATGGTACATTGGGGTATTAAAAATTATGGTGAAATTATTTTGTCTATACCTACGGTGTGTATTATTCAGGGATGGCTGATTTGTGAAGACCCTGGTTGCAGTAATAGAACTCGACGACTGCCACTTCACTTTTCAAAGGGTTTTCCCGTATGCAACTCATGTGAACGGGGAGTTCTCTTCAGGGAGGTAAGTAACTTGCAATATGAGTATTCCTACTAATTCATCCAACATTTAATAATCTCATAGTTCCTACTAATTCATCCAACATTTAATAATCTCATAGCTGTTGTGTTTATAGTGATTACCATTGCCATTTCTTTTTCTGATTTCCAGCTTCTCTTTCACATCTGTTGATCTTTCTATACTCACAATTTTCTCCATAATGCATTTATGCAATTAATCTCTGAAGCATCCTTCCCAATTTTCATAAATTTCTTACATTGTACAGGAGTTGATGATTACAAAATGCAGGTATACTATACATGATTACCGATTACCAAATCAGTTTTCAGGATCATGTAAGTACTTCAGCCAATGAGTGTGAAAATAATAATTTTGAAAAAAAAAATGACTGGTGTTGGGAAGAAGAATTAGAATGTTTAATTCTGTTGGAGTGTTTTGTGTTCTAACATAGATAACAAAAGTATCTGTAATATGTGCCTATCATAGTATGCCTATGTTCAGACCAGTCCAACATTTCTATCAATAAGTAGAAATAATTGTAATGAATTTGTGTATTTTAGCTATTGTGATTAAGAATTGATGGAGGTTAACTTTGCATAAGCTTTTGAAAACTTTTTATTTTCTTTGCAGTATACTGAATCACAGCTCTACAAGCAGCTGTGCTTCTATGATTACATCTTCGACTACCATAAAGCATGCCAGAAGAATAAAGATGACCGTGAGTATCAGCTTTACTCAGGTGGTTGAGTGTATCAAATAGTAGATGTTGAAAGGCTAAGGTCTTACACAGGTGCTATCAAGCTGTCAGATCATCAAAATAGATATGTACCGGGAAACTAATTAAAAAAAAAATACAGAATGTAGTGAATTAATGTTTTTGTGCATTTTATTTTCTGTAACTAATTTGCAGTGTGTGTACAGAACAAGACAGAAATAGAGGTAGGGTTCTATGACAGAATTTTATTTCAAATACTGTACAGTACATGTAATTTTGTTCAAGATGCACAATATGTATATAACAACATGAATTTGTCCCCAGGTCTTCGAGATGACACTGTTCGTAAAGCTTACAACATCCTCCATGCAGAAGTACAACGGGTGCTGAAGTTAAATGCATACTCAGAAGTCAACCTCACCAGACTGTTTGCAAGTTTGATGGCTAAGCCTCAAGCCAGAGGTTCTTAAACAAAAGAATCATTAAAAACATGTTGTAGATTGTCCATCAGCTGACTGCCATAAAACATTGTAGGCAGTAGTAAGAGAAGCATTTTGATATTAGAAAAAATTTCATCAGTCTGCCAACTCAAGCATCTCACTTGTCTTCTGCTACTTCAGCTAATTTTTCCCTAATCTAGGAGGGTTACATTAATAGTAAGACTATCTGTTGATGAAATTCTTACTGCAAGTAATTAATGATTGGTTCATCTGACTGTTTAGTTATAGTTCAGAATTTATTTCCAACAGTTATTGTGGGTCTACAGTATGGGTGCTTTGTGAAGGCTGTAAAATCCCTCCTTGTGATGATCTTTACTCTTCTCACAATAGTGATGCTATCAGTGACTAAGACTTGCATTTGTTACTGGGTTTGTGAATGAGTGGTGGATTAGCTATTATAAGTATTGTATTGAGTAAAAACAAATTCTTTCTCCACCCTTCTTTTATGATAGATAGTACTGTATACCTAAATTTACAACTGGGGAAGTGAATGCAGTTGAGAGCAGTACTGGCCATTTGCTTCCTTGTGTACCACACGCTTGCCAAAAATGTCTGGATATGTTTGTGCAGAAACAGTACAGCAATTGCATCTAATGAAATTAATAAACTCACCATGCTCAACTGAAACGTTAGTTAATGCCGAGAGAATTGAAGAACCACCAAATTCTGTCTTACTCGTGGGGCTTCGGAGTTTGAAAGAGGAGTTAACCGAGATGAAAGGACTGAAGCAAGAGGTGAAATGTTTATCCGACAGGCTGGATCAAGCTTATGAAATCATTCACCAACAGCAATTATTCCTGGAATCATTGGATAATAAGGAACGGCGACGAAACTTGGTGATGACAGGATTGTCAGAGGATGCTGATGAAACGGGAGAGACGGACAACGATAAGATACGAAAGGTACTGGAGGCTGCTGGATATCAGGATGCCGTCTTCCTAGTGAATTGGGAGGTGAGGTGGCTGGACCAGCCCAACGAACACAAGAAGAGACCGATTCATGTAACGGTAGAAGACCAGAGGAAGAGGGACAGGATTTTGAGAGTGGTAAAACAGCTGATAAACGACAGAGAACCAATGTTGACTATATATATTAAGAAGGATGTGTACCCAGCTGTGAGGAAGGAGGCAGCATGTCTTCAGATGCTGGAACGGGAAGAAAAGGAGAAACCTGAAAACGTTGGAGTGAATATACATTATGATTGGAAGAATCGAGTGTTGTGGAGGGACGGCGTCATCATAGACAGGTATTCACCTCGTCTTTCTAACTAGTAAACAACATGATGCTGTTTACAAGTTAAAATTGCGTTCATGGAACATTGCCGGACTTAAGGATAAACTCCAGGAGCCAAATATTTTGAAATTTGTTCTCAATTTTGACATAGTTTGACTATTAGAAACAAATATTTCCAATTGAGTGTACCTGGATTTAATATTTATATCAATGTATCAAAGGAAGGGCATCACAGAGGAGGAGTAGTGATGCTTGTTAGCTGCAAATTATCAGAAAACATCTCTTGTGTAGACACCAATACCGAAGGCCAGATCTGGGTGGTGATGTCTGGATCACCGAGCCTCAAGCTAGGTGGCGTGTACATACCTCCAGAGGATTCACCGTATTACCAGCCATCACACTACGGTGCACTTGCTGCGCACACTGTGGGACCCGGGAAAGTGATCGCAATCAGAGATTTCAACGCGAGGCGCGCATCACGGATCAGAATGGTGAAATATGAGTACAGTGGAGTAAAGGATTATACTGTCAATAACTACGGCAGAGCACTGGTAAATATGTGTATCAACAACTGTATGGTTGTAGCTAACCACCTAACATGTAGCGGAAAGCAGTTAGAAGGCAATTTATCATTTAAACGGAGGGATACATGGATATCTGAAATTGACTTGTGTATCACGAAGGATGAATGCATAATATTAATTTAAGAACTGGATGTGTGTCAGGATGTTGGAGGCTCCGACCACGCCCCACTCTGCATCATGTTAATAAGTGACAACAATATTCCTGTGTCTGCAGCCCGGCTGTTAGAAAGGTCATCAGCGTTAGGACATTCATACTACCGACCACCGACACAGTACAAATTATGGAAGACTCTGTGTCATCAGGCAATTGACACTGAAGAGCTGGCGAGTGCACTACGAGACATGGAACCACCCAATGTGACTGGTGATGAAGACGTCGGTGCAGCTATCTCAGAGGGATGTCACATCATTATGAACACAGCTAACAGGTTCGCCAAGCAACAACCAGGATATGGAAATGTGTGGGATGAGACTCAACCGCGATGGAAAAGATTATTGGATGAAAACGATTTTAAATTGATTTGGAAACCGATTAATTGGAAAGGAAACATTGAGTTATCTAATGTGAAACAACCGGATGATGAACAATTTAAAGAACACTGAAAAACTTTTCAACCCAACGAACGTCCAAGACATAGGATTTGACGATGGTGAAGAGTATTAGATGACCTGTTTACTATTCAAGAATTGGACCAGGTTATTACAAGCATGAACAAAAAAAGAGTTACAGTGGGATATACCCAGGCATAATTAGTAAATTACCTGTATCATGGATATTGTTTATCTTGACAGTATTTAATGTTATGTTCACTGGCATATGGTATCCGATGATGTAGTGTTTTAACAAACTGGTTGTTTTGTTTAAGTCTGGAAACAGAATGGTGTGTAATAACTATAGAGGAATTAGCATAATTGATACTTTAGTGAAAATATATGATACTGTACGTTAATATTGAACAGACTTCGATTATGGTGTAATAGAGATAAATGTGAAGCCGGTGCACAAAAAAGTAGAGGATATATTGAACAGATTATTACTTAAGGTTATTGTGTGATTATGCTGTTTATAAAAAAAGTTGTTATACAGTATGTGTTTTTTTAGATTTTAGTAAAGCTTATGACAGAGTCCCTCGTAGGAAGCTGATAGGCCACCTTAAGAGCTTAGGATGTGGAAAAGTAATGTTAAAAGCGATAAAGTCCGTATACGTGTACAAAAAATGTATTAAAAGTAGCAATAGTTGATGCGTCTATCGGGGTCAGCCAGGGAGCTCAGACGAGCTGTTTATTGTTTATTATATATTTTGGTCATATGATAAAAATGATAAAGAGAGCAATTGCTACAGACGGTTTCTTGGGTAACTTACATGGTTTACTATTGATGGATGATGCTGTAATAGTGGCAATAAATAAGGAGATGTATAAAAAGAAACTCAGCATTGTATTACAATATTGTAAAGAGTATGGAATGGTGCTAAATGAAAAGAAAACTAAATTTGTGGTTAACGGCCAAGAAATATATACACTTTGTCTGACGATAGAGGGAATTGAGATGAGCTATACACCCAGGTACTTGTACCTCGGGGCTTGGTTCACCGACTGGAAAAATGGATAGTGTACTGTCTTTGCACCAGACAGCAAGTGAAGCCACGGTCAATAAGTTTTCCAGGTTTTTTTTTGCAGCCAACAAACAAATGCCATTTGTATACAAGAAAAAAGTATTTGATTCTGCAGTAACGTCATCATTATTATACGGTTCTGAGTCGTGGCTGACCAATAACTTGAAAGAATTGGAAAAACAATATAATAAACTGGTGAAGTGCTTGTTAGGCATGAGGAAAAACACGAGTATGAATTTGCATGATCAAGTCAGGTATTACCCCAGTGCAAGACATTATCGCAAAGAGGAGGTGCAAGTTTATGAAATTAAAACATGAGATAATGGACGTGGAATAACCTCTTCATTTTGTATATGATTTATGTAGGATATTAAATACACCAGGATTTAGATTCATGGCGAGAGCAATTACCTTAAACTGTAACACAAACCCACTAGACAGAGTGGCGAATCTGGTAATGGAGAGGTCAGCTGGCGCTACAAAATTTGCTACATACATATCCAATCTGAACTCTTTTATGATAGTGCATGAGGTATATTTAAGTAAGAAGTTTATCACGGATTTTCAGCGCGAGTCGTTCACCAGGCTGAGACTAATGTCGCACAACCTTAAAGTAGAGACAGGTAGGTGGAGTCGCACGCCAGCAGAGTTGGGATTATGTCAGTGTAACGACAGTCGTGTACAAAATGAACGACATGCTGATTGATTGTACGCTCTCTGCACATTGTCGTGAAAGGTATCATATGCTGACCTTCTCCAGTAAATGAAAATGTATATGTGCCTGAATTATGTAATTATGTACATGAGGTACTAGGAATCTAGTTAAGTTTAAAATTGCACCTTAGATGTTATGTTTTGATTTAAAATATTTTAATGGACGAACATTTATTTTGAATTCTTTGTATATATTTACCATGTATTTATAATTTGTCAATAAACTACTACTACTACCAAAGGCTAAGTATACAGTGTACAGTGCTGTATCCGCAGTGTCCCTAATAGACAGGCATACCTATGGTATTCACTTTCACATGCAATTCATCTTTTTAACCCTTAAAAGCCTGGTTGACGTTCCTGAGCATTCACTTAGGCAACCCCTGGTGATGTTCTTCAACTATCTTGTTTTTTGCTGCATATTTTGAATGTCCAGGCGGGACAAAATACTTTGTGTTGGATATTTGTTTAATTGACAACTCAACTCGTGCATAATCTTTATCTCAAGACTTATGCCTCATGCTCAGTTATCGTGAGTGGTGCATGTCCTTCGACCTCTGTTCAGTAATATATAGCTGCCATATTTACTGCTATGACAAACAATAAAATCCATACTTAGAATATCATAAATACAGTCGCCCACAGGGCCGGATTTACTCTACTTGTGGGCCCCCAAATTTATAGAATTGTTTGCATGTTTCAATAATCAATATATATATATATATATATATATATATATATATATATATATATATATATATATATATATATATATATATATATATATATATATATATATATATATATATATATATATATATATATATATATATATATATATATATATATATATATAATATATATATATATATATATATATATATATATATATATATATACTGTATATAAATTTTACTGTAATTATTTTGCAATGGCCAAATGTCATCAAATATTACATAATATCATAATGTAAGAAATAAGAATTTCAACACAATGTGACACATCATTACTTTTAATCAAATTAGTTTTATATCATGTACATCTTATATATGGGAATAATAAAAGAAATACAATTAACTTGAAGCATAATCAATTTTGCAAGCACATGAAGTACTGTATAGCAAACTGTGAGAATTTCAAAATAAATTCTAACCACTTTTTTCATGGAAAATTTTTCAATGATACTGTTTGTATCAAGGGATTGTAGGAGGCCAGATTCAATGCATTATAATGAAAGTGAGTTTAATCTGGTTTGTCCCATGGTAGACCTCAGGTGATTTTTCACCCTAGATAGAGTAGAGAAAGACCTCTCCTTCACAATTTGTAATGGGGATGGTAAGGAAAATTCTTACCAAGATACTAATGTTTGGAAAGGCAGTTGTCAAAATGCCATCTTTGGACCTCAGCAAAGTGGAGATGTTTGTCACTGACCTGTCAGGTTCAGAAGACAAAATGTCTTTAAATTGCAAAAATTTATCTAGAATAGATGCTTCCAGGTCACTGGAATAGGTACTGACAACTAATTCCAGTTGAACTTTGAGATCATATTTCATACTGTCATTCTCCGAAAATGAAAAAAATTATAAGTCATTTGAATAAGTAATAATGCAGATATCAAATTTTGGTAAACAGATCCTAAATCAGCATGTTCAGGAGTACCTATACTGAGATTTTGAACAAAATCTATTTTTTGGCCAAAAATCCTGTAAGGCATAAGACAATTTTTTTTCATTTTCGACCAAAAAATAGATTTTGTTCAAAATCTCAGTATAGGTACTCCTGAACATGCTGATTAAGGATCTGTTTACCAAAATTTGATATCTACATTATCAGGGCTGGATTAAGCTTAATAGTGGCCTGAGGCACAGATCAACTTGGGGACCCCTACCCTCAAGGTATATATAAATAACAAGAACAAAACATACCCAAATTTATCAATGATTTCATCAATATTAAGCTTCTGCAAAATAACACATTTAATGTTCATAAGAGACAGAAAATTGAGACGTTGCTAGGACATCGTTGAATGAAGTTCATGTTTTATATGCTTCAACTTCGAAAATGTTTGGATTTGGGGGCCCCTGAGAGTCGAGGGGCCTGAGGCTAGTGCCTCATGGTTAATCCGGCCTTATAGGATTTTTGGCAAAAAAAAATTGATTTTTTTCAAAATCTCAGTATAGGTACTCCTGAACATGCTGATTTAGGATCTGTTGACCAAAATTTGATATCTGGATTATTACTTGTTCAAATGGCTTTTAGAAAATTTTAATTACTTTTGCAAGTCATTTGAACAAGTAATAATCCAGATATAAAATTTTGGTCAACAGATCCTTAATCAGCTTGTTCAGGAGTATCTGTAAGGCATAAAACTTACAATATTTGTCATTTTTGGCCAAAAAATATATTTTTTTTTCAAAATCTCAGTATCGGAGGAGGATGGCATCCAAGTGCTTCAGTAATACGGGTTCGGTACTTAAGATTTATTTATCTTCACCCGAGAGAATAATTGTAATTTGTTCTCACCCATAAGTACTTCCAAATTGAACAGCCCAAAAGCACGCATTGTAATGAATGTGTGGTAATGGTTGCGGCTTCGTTTTTTTTAATTATTTAGTGATTTTGATTCATAAGCATTTCCCCTTTACCACACTGGTGCCTGCACTTCGGCACCTCAGCTACCCTGAGAGGTTGGAGCGCCTGAACTTGCCTAGCTTATACTACAGACGGGCAAGGGGGGGACCTAGTTGAGGTGTATAAGCATCTCAGGGGGCACTACTCAGTTGAGTGTCCTTACTTGGAGCTGGCGGACGCTCGCCCCACAAGGGGTCACAGCTCAAGATTGAAGAAGCCGCAAGTCCAGAAAACCGTGAGGGCAAACTTTTTCGAAGTGAGGGTTGTAAACTCTTGGAATAATATACCAGAGAGTGTTGTGACGGCACCGAGTGTGAGCTCTTTCAAGAGAAGACTTGACCAACACTGGAGCGGGTTCAGGTACATTCAGGAGCCGGTGCATGCCCAGTATTTGCCAACAGTGCGTGACAGAGACGTGACCGATCGCCCGGGCGGCTAACGAGCCGATCTTTTGGTGAAGAAGATAAAATGAATAGTGTTATTACTAGCATTAACAATATAAATTCAATTATTGCCACAATGGTGTAAAGATCATTTCGGAATTTACTGACTTATTCATATCTACATTTTCCCTTCATATCTATTTCTATCATAATTTCACAGGTTGATGAATTTTACCGTCATCCCGTGGGCCACACCAGACCATTCCAAGGGCCATGAATTTGACACCCTGCGGCGAACCCCTATTGGTCTTATAAATTATTACAAAAATATAACGGGAAAAAACAATAACAATAGATTTACTTTTTTCGAAATAAAAATACAAGCATCATAAGCTCTTCATAAATGTACAGAAAAATATTAGTTATTTCGTATATTAACAATACTCGTGATGTTGCATTCAAAGTCCCCTCCCTCCTTGGCAAATTTCTTCAGTCTCTCATGATTCACCAACTTCAAGGGTTAGAACCTCGCCCTCGGCCCGGACACAAGAGAAGGAAGGGTGTATCCAGTGAGACCCTACCAAACACCACGGGTTTCCCGGTCCCCGGTTTCCTCCTGTACTAACACTGGATAAACCGCCCAAACGACTAGTAAGTTAATAAGTGGCGAATATGATAAAATAAAACATAATTAAAAAGTAGCTTATTCCTAGCATTCAAATATAACATTTCAAAGGCCTTCAGCCTCTCTGATGTCTGCAGACTCTGTAAGAAATAACAATTTAAAATTATGCGAGATTCACCTCTGGTTGTAACATAGGAACATATGAAAGGAAGAAACTCAGCTTTATTTTTTAACATGAATTACTTACATTTGAATATAGTTTCTTTAATTGTTGTTTGTTTTAGGTGCTTGAATTGCTATACTTATACTAACGATACTGTCAAAACCGAAGGAAAGATATTCATTCCATGGACAAAACAACGAACAAGACCTTAGGCAGACATTGCATCACAGTTACATTCCCATGATCATACAGACAGCCGCTCTATTTCACAAAATATGTAATAAATACATGAAATTCCATCAGAAATAAATATTTAATGACAATATCAGTGGGCTTTAAAACAAGTAAGAAGTCTTAATAACAAAATATCCTCTCTTTTGTAAGACTTATTGAGTGAATCCCTTATATTCATGAGTAACAGAGGAAAGAGAGGAATCCGACTCTGTTATAAGGTATTGGGTGGTGGTGAAGGCGCTTGTGGCGTGTGTGTCGGAGGTGGAATATTCGAGCACAGTACACACGAGGGTGAAGGCCACTCGGCGTCTATTGCCTGGACACACAGCAGAATGGCGGACAATAAACTGTACGAAGCTTTAAATGTCTCAAGAACTGCTTCAGATACCGAAATCCGTAGAGTAAGTATAAAGATGGGATATTTTAGATGTATATATAATGTTAATTAATGTATTATAACTGCCGAGCACCGTAAGTAGAAGTGTATGTTATAGACTGATCTTCCTGTGATTTTTCAACTGCAAGTTGTCTTGTTACATCAAAAAAATGTTTCTGTAGTGAAATTTAGGTTCATTGTGTGATACAGACGTGATAAAAGTGGAGACACATGTTAATTGTAGTGTGACTTGGAAGTAGGAAGATGGAGTGGATGACTACGTTTATGTGAAGTTCTAATAACAAGAGTTCTCAATTCTAGTTTAAGTGGCTGCCACTCAGCAACTTTGTACTGTACGGAATTTAATTTTATTCCTTTGAATTTTACAAGGTCAATAATTACATTTTTAATTTCTTGCAAAAACAAGGTTGTAAACCAAATATAATATTTCTTGAAAAAATATATATGGTAAAGATGTAGAAGAGGGTGATCACCAGAAGGAATTGTCCTAATTGGTTGAATTTTTTTTTTACACAATAATATCATGCTAAACAAAAATTTAAACGACAATGCATAGAACCTGACCTAACATACCCGGGTATGTTAGGTCAGGTTTTATTAGGTTCTATGCATCATTTTGTATTTATTTATTTATATAATGGTAGTAACATGTTAAATACAGATGGAAACGACAATGCATAGAACGTAATAGAATCTGACAATCTTTTTATTTACTCTATCCTGCTTCACAATTCTCCTCCCGGCGCTATTTTTTTTTTATCTCGAATCTCTTTTCAAGAGACGTTTCCTAAATGATGAACTCTTCCACATAAACCTCCTCGCCATTGCTGATGTATATCAACCTCAATATTAAGGTAAGTTGTTTAGCGCATAAATTAACACGATAATGCACAGAACCTAATAAAACCTGACCTAACATACCCAACCTATGGGTATGTTAGGTCAGGTTCTATTAGGTTCCAGCATTGTCGTTTCCATTTTTGTGTTTAAAATATTAGAGTGTAGAAAAATTTTCAACCGATTCAGACAATTCCTTCTGGTGATCACCCTCTTCTACACCTTTACCGGTTATTTTGCCACGAAACAAATGTTACTGTAAAGCTGTGAATATTTGTCTGGTTGTCGGTTAGGTTTTTTTTTTTAGACCAACACCAGGAGTAGATAGAAATTGGATGATACTTTGTAGAAATGTGATTTACAATCTATTAAATGAATAAATGGAAACAAGATTTCATTCAGTGTCATGTATGTTTTAAAAGGTTTTACTGTTAAGTTGGGTGGTGTTATGTAAGTTACTTTAGGTTAGGTTGGTTAGCCCAAGTTCTAATAGGTTTTGGGCATTCTTATTTCCTTTATCTATTTAATTAATTGCAAATAACATTTTCACAAAGTTTCGTCCATTTGTATCGAATCCTGATGTTCGTCTAAAAAAAAAAAACACTTTAACCGACAACTGTATAAATATCCACAGCCTATACTGTACAGGATATTTATTCAAGTTCCTGTGTAGCCAGGTACCCCAGCTGTTTAATGGTTAATGTATGGGAACTCCACTGCCACCACCAAGCTGGACCCCCTACCATATTAAACAAAAAGTATTTATTTTGATATCTAGTACCAATGACTGTAACATTTTTTGTGGACATGAGAGTATGCTTGTGCCAAGCATGTCTGTTGTAAACAAACAACACGCAGTTACAACACCAGATTTTTCGGAGGAGTTTTTGTGATAAATAAATAATTTCTCCGCGTACAAAGCACGTACAGACTTAATTTTAGTGTCATCAGTTTTTCTCCATGTTTTATCCAGCAGTTTACTTCATCCTTCATGTCTTGTCCTCTACAGGTGATCAGGTGATTTATAATAGTAAATAGAGAAAAACTGAAACAAAAATATACTACAAATTAAAATAAAAAGTTGCCTCTTTTAAAATTCTTAACTGTAATAACATCTGTGGAGAAAATGACAAAAGCGAACTCCTCCTGGTGGGAGTGGTTTCCTCATAAATTACCGTTGAATGTAACAGCTTATGTCGCTGGGTGTGACTCTAAATTTCATTGATGTTTTTGTTCTCAGTATATTTTTAACCAAAAGCTTTCTAGTTCCCAGTTTGATTCCCCCTTGGTTATTTTGTGAAGGTTAGTTTGGGTTAGGTATTACTCTTTAAAGTTGTGTTTCACCAATTACTGGAGACTTCAGGTACTATATTTGCATTGCTGTATCGTGTGATGATATTTTTGGGTTAATAAAAACAGATTTCAGTATTTTTTTCTCATCAGTAACTTAAAACCACACGTGAAACATTACTAATTTAACTTAACATAAATTGCCAAAAGGCTGTTTCCCAGTCAATGTTATTTCTGCAACAAAAATTGAATGGTCAAATAAGAACTTTTCCAGGTCTTTTTCTTTGTTAAATAGACAGGAATTTTCCATATCAAACTCTTAAGAGTTCCTTGAAAATATATACAGTAGACCCTTGCCATTCGCGAGGGATTGGTTCCAAGAAATGGCACGAATTGGCAAATCCGCAAATAGCAAATTATACTACCTTAGTGCACTACTGTATACCTATACCAAACAACTGACCAGCTGCGGCAGCACTCGGCCTCTCTTTTAACTTATCTAAAAACTTTATCAGGGTCATCACTGACTTTTGCCTTTTACATTTCAATCCACTAGCACTGACACTAGGCAGTCTTTTAGGGGCCACTTCACACAGAAATACTAAGTTTGAGAGTACAACACGAGATGCTGTGTGGGGTGACTTGTGCTGCTGGAAAAGGCTTGCAAGCTAGCCACCATCTGCTTACCACAAGTCATCAAAATCGCGAATGGCAAGGGTCTACTGTATACTGTAAAGTGAAAATTCATGCTTTTATTGAAAAAACTAACTTCTTAAATGTGTATATCATGGACAAAAAGTGACATAAGAAACCTTAGTTTGGTTTAAATACTCGAGAGAAAACTAGCAATGAGACTGGAAATTCTTATGAAAATTCTCCAAATTAATAAAATAATGGCATCTGTTTTATTTGAAAAGAAAGTGAAATAATAATAAAAAAGCAGTCTTGTGTTTCCCTTTTTTAAACCACAGAAAATAATGAAAAAAGGTGATGTAATTAAAATAATTTACACCTCAACCACAAAACAAAAATCAAGCCAGGTTTCAGATTTTTTTTTTCTCTCCTCCCCCTCTTTCTTTCTTTCTTCTCTCTTCCCCCCCCCCCCCCAACTATGAAACATAGCATGTGGTGGCTTAAACCCTTTAAAGCCCGGGGATTCTTGGGATGATACACGAGTACTATTAAACACGTCTACACACAAACTCCTATGTGCTCTGGTGGTGTGCTTGACGTGTTTTCCTTGATGCATTACTGCCAAGGAAAATTACATACACAATGGTTTTCTGAGTACATGTTAACCTTAGCTCTGAATAAATGAAGTTTGTGGTCGTTGAGAAGTCTGTGTAAATGAGGGACACCTGTGTTTTGCTACTGACCAGCTTTATTTGTATGGAAACTTAACTCAATTCTTAGCAAGGTCTAATTAATGTCTTGAGCCACTTTCTATAGGTATTTATCATGGTGTTGGAGGCAGTATCACGGAACTGGGATTGGCCTGTCCTGGGAGTAGTTGTATGCTGATGGCTTAGTGCTGATAGCTGATACTGTTGTATTGAAGAGGCAGTGGAGAAGTCTTAAGAAATGGAAGGATGGAATGGAGACAAAAATGGCTTGAGTGAATGTGGCAAAAACAAAAGTATTGATTTTTTATTTGGAAAGGGACCCATGGTGGAAAGTGGAAAATGACTGTGCTGTCTGCAGAAATATTGTACAATGAGTGTGAGTGTGGAAGATGGGTAGATAAGAGGTGCAGTAGAGTGAGTAGATGGTAGACTGCAGGATGTTGCTGACTTTGTGTTCTGTATGTGCAAGTAACCATGTGACCACAGCAAGGCTGGAGAAACAGAACATTGGGGAGATGTCCTTGAATGGTGTAAAGGAGTTCTGTTACCTGGGTGACATGATTAGTGCCAGTGGGGATGCTGAAGCCTGTTCAGTTGCAAGTCAGAAATGGCTGGAGGAATTTTAGGGGGCTTCTGCCTTTATTGACAGCAAGAGGACCTTCCCTCTGAGTGAAAGGAAGAATGTATGAGGCAGTTGCGACAAGTGCGATGTATGGCAGTGAAATATGAGCAGTTATAGAGGATGGCATAAGTATACTTGAGTGAGCTGAAATGAGATTGGCAAGGTGGGTGTGCAATCTGACACTGTAAGACAGAAGGCCTTGTTCAGAGCCAATATGGCAACTGGGTATTGAGAGTTCAGTACAGTATTGGCAAAGTCCTACATAGAGGCAGGTGGAGATGGTTTGGGCATGTGGAGAGAATGGGTGAGACCAATTGGGTTAAAAGATGCATTAGCCTTAGTGTGGGGGGAAGGGGAACCAGGGGTAGGCTAAGAATGATATAGGGAGAGGTTGTAAGACATGACATTAGGAACCTGACAAGAGAAACTGCAAGAGACTGTGCAGCATGGAGAGCTGCCATCAGGTAACCACAGCTAACTCATGCAAGTGGAAAATGGCTGTAAAACAATGATGATTTCTGTAGTAAGAATGATGTTTAGTACTGTACTGTAATTTTCTGAAATAGTACAGTATAATGTATATACTGTAATAATAAATTTTACCTGTTTAGCTAACTATTGTTAGCCCATTGAGCAAAATCGCCAATACTGTGTGCTTGATGTCATCCCTCAACGATGTCTTAAATTTTTTCCGTTTTATTTCTCCTCAGAATTATCGGAAGCTTGCTAAGGAATACCACCCAGACAAAAACCCTGCTGCTGGTGATAAGTTTAAAGAGATCTCCTTTGCCTATGAAGTGCTAACAGATCCCCAGAAACGTGAGATTTATGACCGTTATGGCTTGAAAGGGCTTCAGGTAAGTTGATGTCCAAAATTTGGAGATAGTAGATTTTGAGAATAGAGTATGGTACTGTATTTCAGTTACCCTTTCACTGTGCTTTATGTCCATGGTGGTCACTTCCCCATGTACTATTATTTGGTCTGAATAACCAAACAAAAAAAGTGCATATATTCTCACTAATAAAGTTACAATACTGTAGCTATAAATGTACCACATAAGAGGATTTGAAAATTAGATAAGAATTGTCAGGCCCAAGATTGTGGTCTTATCTTTGCAGCACTAAATTACAATCATGGCTTAGAGCGATGATAGGGTTAATGTATTTTATTTATTTATTTATTTTTTGTAAATCTTCTATACACTAATGTTTGCATAAAGCTTAAGTGCACTTTTGACACAATGGGTGACTTGACAGTAATTCATCATTAACACAATGGGTGACTTGACAGTAATTCATCATTAACACAATGGGTGACTTGTGACAGTAATTCATCATTAAATATTAGGTACCAGTACGAAAGCAAATTAAGTATACAGTAAACCTACAGTTTACATGGTCGTTAGGTTTCTGGTGACCACCATACAAGCAGTAAAAGAATACTCTTGCATTAATTCCTTACCTGGCAATCTAAAATTAAGAAGAAAATATCCTAATGTTTAATGAAGCAAGGAATTCCTGAGGTGCGCTAAGGAAAAAAATAAGCACCTTCCCTTTCTAAGCTGACAAACTCCCTCCCTTAGTTTTCCAACAGACAGGTTTCTGTTCCAAGGAAGGCCACAAATATAGTTAATTTTCATAGAAAGCTGAATTTTCTGGTCTTAGGCTTGGTCCATGTTGTTACAGTATTGCTATTCTTGAAAATGGTCTTTTTAGCGAAGGAAAATCTATGAATTTTTTTAGTTTCACATCAAAATTTGTCAGTTACTGATTGGGCATTATGAAGTTTTAATGGCTATATATTTCATTGATAGCTGAAAAAATTAAAGTACAGGTAGTCAACTTTATTACATAAGTTTTTAAGTTTTCCCAAACATGAAGTTATTTAATACAAATAAAATGTTTGATTGTCCGTCAGGAAGGAGACAACAACTTTGCTGGGGCAGAAGACCTCTTTGGTCATTTCTTTGGTGGAGGTGGGCCATTTGGTGGTTTGTTTGGTGGATTTGGAGGAGGAGGCCTACGGCACGCACAAAGAAGAGGACCAAGACGGGGCGAGAATACTGTTCATAGGTTGAAGTAAGTGTTGATCATTTTCTCTTAATATTTTAAGATGTTGGGAATGAAAAACTGGAAGGTATACCGGGTAATGGAGGTGTGTACCTTGATCCTGATTGGCATTCCAGCCATAGTGATGGTTTCCAGTTACTTTTTAATTGCATCCAAAGCCTTGTAGAAGATGGTTTATTTAAGTGACCTGCAGAATTATATAAGGAGTACAGTATGGGATATCCTTCTATTTGATGGGATGAATAATATCTTACTGGGTGCCCTGATGCCTCATCCTGTTGAAGTTTTCCACATATAGTACGACTGTATACTGTATTCCATATTCTCCGGGTTTGCAGAACACCTGTTGACAATATTTTCATTAAAAGGTTAAAATTCTTTTCTTTACTTCCTTTTTATAAAGAATATCTTTTGACACCTATAAGTATCAGGCATTAGGGTTCATGGGTATGTTATAACATTTGAACTCATTGCAGGGAAGGAAGGGTCACAAATATGTTAAGAATTTTGAGAATTTTTACTCAAGGCATTAACTACAGTACAGTACTATTTTTATCCACGATTTTGGTATTACACATATTACAGAGAGTTTGTGCACTTCTGTACTTGAATTCTTCAAAGTTAAATGCATCCACAGGGAGTCCCTGTGTAATTAATGGTTTCCGTTCCTGAGGACATTCTTAAGTCGAAAATGTGCGTAAGTCGGAACACATGCTATGTGCATACTGTGCTTACAGAACAATATTTAAAATCCCACTATATCATAGCCTAAGTCCTTGTATACATATAAACTAACTTAATTTATGACAAAAGGAGAAATATAATGACAAAATTCAGTAAATTAAAGAAAAAATAAGTCCTCGGGTAAATAAAATACGTAAACAGTACAGTACTGTAAATTTAAAGTTTAACCTCATTCATATCAGCGGGAATTCGTAAGTCGGGCAACCCCCTTTACATTTTTGATGAAATGTAAATAAAACATTTTAAAAAATGAAAAATGCAATTACATTAATATCCCTGTTAGCTGGAATCCCTCTTAACCACAACTCTCTGATAGGCGGAATTGAAAATTTCTTTGAAAATCTCTCCCAAACCTGGAATTTTACCAAAAATTCCAGCAATGGGTACTATTTACCGAGGGGCACATTTTCTGAAAACTTCCGAGAAAAATTCACCAGTATCTGGAAGACTCTGGGGATGGGGGAATTTTTAATTTATTTATTTAGTTTTTTTTTCTGGGTTTGAGAGATGAAAATCAGGTGCATTTTGTGGAAATTCTGAGAAAAAATTCTGGTATCTGGAAAAGTCTGGGAATGGGGATATTTTTCCAGGCTCAAGAAATGATTTAATGTGCAATATCTGGAACTTCTAAGAACATTTTTCTGTTACCAAGAAAATTCCGGGGATGAGGGATTTTTTCCAGCTTTGAGAGAGTCGTCTCATTACCTGAAAATCTCTCCTTCCCAGAAGTGCTCTGCACCAATTGTTCCGGCTAATGGAAATATCACTTTATTCGCTGATTTATGTCGTACCAAATGGCGTTGTTTGATATAACGTTTAATAATATAATTAGGGAACAATATTTGATATAAGTAGCTGAAGTGTGACTTAGCGTAGTTTTAAATCTTGCCCCCACCAGTGTGGTGGTGAGGGGCCAGTGTTGCCTGCCTGCAAAATTTTGATCTTATGCTTTCTACCTTGATGACAACAACTAGTGTCGCTTTGTGGATTTGTTTTGATCCCAACATTAAAAGATCCTACAAACAGTCCTGCTGGTACTGGATACTGCATCTAAGAAATCCTGTATTTCCATCAATTTAGATGTGAAAATTCAAAAAGTATGGAATCTGGAGAGAGACAAGCTGGGGGCAAGGCAAAAGAGAGGGGGACTGGGGAGGAGTAACCCTGACAATGACATCCGAGAAGAAAGTGATGTGATTTTGGAAATACTTTATTAGTTTAAGTCTGTGAATCTTTATGATTTAATTATTTAAGTGATGCTTATTAAAGAAGGGTGAAAATAATTTTGGCATTCCCGTGGTTTGTGGTGTGACAATCGGGCGATCACTCAAGTGTGACGTCACAGCTTTAGTCAGCTGGGAGGACCTAAACCACTGCTCTGGGTGGGGTGCTTAATGTTTAGTGATATATAATTGTTTTATTGTTTAAAAAAATGTTATTCACATTGTTATTTTTTACCAGTACATACTTTAGTATGCTATTATAACAAAGTTAGTAGTTTGTGAATGATGAGAGATTCTACTGAATGAAGTCGAGTAAAAAGTTAGGTTAGAATGACTTAAAATTTAATTTATTTTAAACCTGCACAGCACTTTAATATGTTATATACCAACTTAACATGCCATATAACACTTCAACTTAGTAGTTTGCTCTGTTTCGTGCCGATGAGAGGTACCACTGTTTAGGATAGGGCTAGGGTGACCGAAAATCTGCCCTGGGAATATACAATATTGTCTGAATAATGTCACACTTTTTGGGACAGTATCTTGTGTGTAAATCAGCGACCTGCTGTACAGAAAGAAATTAGGAAAATTGCAAGACCACTGTAATATATACAAAAGGTAAAGAGCTAACCTTTTTATTGTGTTTTTTAACCAAATTTATGTTGTGACTCCACCCACTTAGGCTAGGTGAACCTGGAGCAGGAATGGCTGCTCTCATATGGACTCAGAGATGTTTTAGATATGGCTCGTGTCATTTAATATAATGAAAACTGCTGTGATATTCTAATATTGGAGATGATCTACAACTTCCTGTGTATGGACTTCTCCCCCCCTAAAAATGAATTGATAGATAGACGGTGAGTGATTCCTACTCTATTTTCGTTTTTCACTTACCTTAATATTTTATTTCTTTTATTCAGAGTTTCGTTGGAGGACTTGTATAATGGAAAAGTATCAAAACTGCAACTCTCAAAGAATACCATCTGCACTGCATGTGGAGGGTAAGTACTGTATGTAAACATTTTCTGCAGCATCGTAAAGATCTGTTTTTGTTTTGGATCATTGACCATGTTTTTATCATCACTGGTCTAACCCGTGTTCTTTAGGTACATTTGATAATCAGATGCGTTTATTTTGCGTAATTGTTAAGTTAGAAGTGTAATAATTTGAAAGAACAGTGAGCTTAATGACCATTATTCTGATGATAGTGAGGGTGGACCGGCTGGAGCGCTGCAACCATGTCGGACATGTAGTGGACGTGGGGTCAAAGTTACCATTACCCAGCTAGGTCCAGGCATGGTGCAACAGATGCAGAGTCGTTGCCAAGATTGCGATGGGGAAGGTGAGAAGCTGTTTGTGTGTTTATAGTGACCTTTGAGGGGAAGAAAAGAAAAATCTTGTGACTAGTATCATTCAACAGCATAGTGAATGCAATCTGAATAAAAATATTCATGGTATGTCTCTCAATCATTAATTTTCCCAGACTTGTCACATACAGATATGTAATTGAAAAGTATTGAGTAAGATTAATGTATAACTACTTTTTAAAATTAGGGTAAAAGGTTTAGTGGATCTAAGTTGCCTTGGTTAAGTAAATTTTTAAAGTGGGAGGTAATGCAGGAAGTATGTGAATAATAAGTGGTTTTATAAATGATTAAAAAATATGGTTAATCATTGCATCTTTCTTCTCTTAGGTGAAGTAATCAATGAGCGTGACCGATGCCAAGTATGTATGGGTCGCAAGGTTACACCACAAACGAAGTTACTGGAGGTACATGTAGATAAAGGAATGAAAGATGAACAACGTATTACTTTCCGTGGTGAGGGTGATCAGATGCCTGGAGTTGAGCCCGGCGATGTTATTATTGTTCTCCAGGTAAGACGTACAGTACGTGTGTGTTGAACTAGCCATACGTCAAGCTCCTGTTGTGTTGGATAAACCAAAAATCTTTAGTTCTAAAACCTTTATCACCACCTTATTATTATTTCTGGGAAGCATGAACTCCAGCGTGGTTGGCAGTCTCATGATGAAGCAGACGGTCACACTCTAGGCTGTGGGTTCATTAAACATTTAGATGAGATTTAGTCATCAAACATCCTCCTGGATCAGTTTTAGTTCCAGGTAAGAAGTAACCCTTTCTCTAATGTTAAGTATTTCTAGTAGATTTATAATTTGTGATGCCTTTGGTAGTACATTTTGTACTTTATAGTAGTGTTTTTGTACAGTATTGGAGAGGGATAGTAGTTTGCTGAAGACAAAGATTTGATTTGAGTATTGACAATTTAGTAGTTCATTTAACTACATTAATAAATAACTAAATAAATTTTTTTTTTAAATGCCACACTGTATGTACAGTAAACTTCCTCTAATTGATTAATTGAGAAGGGCTATCTGGTTTGGCTGAGGTTGTTAATGCCTATACAGTATTGCAGGGTGAAATTTTGAAGATGGTGGGTTCACACACACTACTAAGACCACGAACCTACTGTAATTTTTTGCCTTTGTCTTTACATCTGTGCAGTATTCATGTCATATGGACATATTTTAGTAATAAGGTTTTTTCGTGTGGAAAAGTATTCTTTCATTTAGCTATTTTGGCGCACCTAATTTTATTTACTTAGAAGTCTCCTCTTGATGTGGCAGCATTGTGTCTTATGCTACACTGCTCTATTCAAGCCTCGTGGCCCCCCAAAATATCTCCATTTGATGGCCTGTATCTTGTATATTTTTTTTTTTTTCATGTTTATGTATTTATTTGGGAAAATGGTTCTTGGATTGTTGGGTAAAAAAAAGGGTGTTTCTAACTTAATAAAAGGCTGAGTTTATAGACTGATATAAACATTTCTTACGTGTTTTTCATAAGATATTTACATCATTATATCATGTATTAATATTTGGATGTTTTTAAATCGGTGTATGAAATTTATTAATGATCATTAATGTATCAAATTTATCTTTCAATGCAACTAAAACAGATGTCGTGGATAAAAAGTATATACAGTGCTGTATATAAATTTTTATAGCCATAAATATTTTATTTAATACAACCCTAATATAATCAGAGTTTGACAAGAGAATAAATTACAAAGTAGAGTGTGTTTCTTATGGTATACATTGTACTACTATAATATGTCTGTTGATGAAAGTAAAGCCTAGTACATGTTAATAATAAAGTACTGTACAATTACCTATTAATTGTTAAATTATCATGGGTTGGTTGAGGCAGGGGGGTGATTGCCGGACACTAACAATTAACATGCCACTGAAGGTTATGTTTTTGCTGCTAATTTCATGGATTATATGTACTGCACACTACTGTATTCATATTTAAGACAAGTGTTGAAGAGGCAGCAGTCGAGTTATCCTTCTGTGCCACCACAGTGGCAGCCCTAAGCTTTGAGAACTTTCCCCTATACAAATTGGATTTTTGGTTGTTTCCTGGGTTGGGTATTTGTGTATGGTGCTGGACTCAGTCTGGTTTGAATGGGATCGAGGTTAAGCAGGTCCGGGTTAGAGAGAGTTTACTTTATTTGCATATATACTGTACTTAAGTTGTGATACGATGCCGGGCCTTTAAAAATCTTATATGTACTGGTATTTGTTTATTTTTGTTTTGGTGTATGCAGTATAGAAGGATGCCTATCTACAAAATCCATTTGAAAAGATCTGTATGTTAGTATTGAAGTTGAGTTCCTAAGTGCCCTTCAGAAGAAAACTTAAGGTAAGTTAGATCTCGTCAAGTTTTATTTGCTTGGGTATCCATTCATATAAAGTTTTCATTCTCATGTTAGTCATTATATTTTTAAAAAGCATATCTTGAAGATTTTCAGCAACACAATTACTCTCTTTATCCATGTAAATCTCTAGAATTTTTACTGGTATGTACAAATAAGGCTTCCACTCATATGTGGACAGATATCCTCATTGAGGTCAGACTTTATTTAAATTTTAAATTATTGCAGTAGTCAATTAATGGGTACAATGGATTCTAAGTTTTTGTGAAGGTATGGGTAGAAGCCAGATAAATATTTGGGTCTTAGGAAGTACCCACAGTGCCAGCACCTATTTCTGTTAGCAGGAATAATGAATAAATGTCAGCAAATGAAGGGGATGTCTTTGTGTGGCCACTGTACAAGTATTTGTTCTTGATTCAAGCCATCCTGCATAATATTTTATCGAGTACTGTACAGAAAGAAAAACAGAAAGGTGAATTGGGTTGTCATTTAAACACAATATTTATTACATTGGTGGAATTAAACAAAATCAATAAAGCCAAGCTTATTACACACAGAATTAGAATCAATTTTGGGAGGACGACCAGCAGCAGCTCCAATTCCCACAGATGCTGAAGAAGTTAATTTGTCAGAGTTTGAGGATGGCCCAGGTGCTGGTGGCTCCGAGACAAACTCAATATGATGAAGATGATGACCATCCGCGCTAGATTGGACAACATGTACAGTGTTACTTACACCAGTAGAAGAAAACTAATTACTGTATATTAATTAGTAAATGTTGCACAGCCAGATCTCCTATGAATTGGACTGTCATTAGACAACCATAACAAATTTGTTTAACAAGTAATTGGGGTTTTAATAATTATACCATCACCTGTAGAAACCCAGGTACAATGCACACACCATAGTCAGGTAGTCTAAAGTTTCTGATCTGCTCATAAAGATGGTAGTGAAGGCTAATTTTCTTCAACAAAATTCATCATTGGTCGCGCTTTGTCTACAAATCAGGCTAAAATATTGGGAGTGGATACTTGGCTTTGGCTTACTTAGTACAGTACATTTAGTACCGCTAATATTTGTATTATTGGATTTGTTGAAGTGGAAAAATTATACAGGAAAAAACTTGGGTACTGTCAGATAGACATGATTATTTACTGTTAATTATATTTTGATATAAATGACCTATACAAATTTATCTCAGCTGACTTTAGATAAATGGTTTTACTTAAGATATCTCATCAAACTTGAGATTTGATAGTTTCATTCTTACTAAGGACCTATGCCTGATGTGAGTGCAGTACAGGTAGTAGAATAGGCCTTGAAATGTTGCATTTGATCTTTGAAATCTGATTTGACATGGTTCAAATAACCCAGCAAATAAGCCAAAAAAAATGTATTGGTTTGGAGATAACTTAAACAGAATTATTCCAAGTGATGCAAGGGTTGAGATAATATTCAGTGATTGATTTATGATGTGTTTTAATAATGGTAACTGGAGACGTCCATTTACATAAAATATTCACGAGCACCATTGGACCATGGATGGATTTCCATCATTTAGTGGTTCAAACTTAATCTAGATTAGTTGCATTAGTTTTCATGCTGAACATTCCCATTTTAGTTGGTATTTCATTTATAGCTGCACTTTGGCATATACTATGTAGGACATAACTGAATTATAATAAATCTTAATGCATCAAGAAAAGTTGTTGAATCTGACACTGCATCTGATACTTGTGTGGGATGTGGTACAGAAACTATTGAGATATACTTACAACTATTGTGGAAGAAGTTGTTTCAAGTAGTTAAGGAGTATGTAAAGTGTTTCTCTGTCTGTGTAAACTTATATACAAACTGAGAGTGCAGCTATATCTCGGTTTTATTGTATTTAATGTAAGGTATTGGTCTATAAGACAAGATTTAATTGCACTTTCAGAATAAAAAGATAAAATCAGATTTGAACGCGGTGTTAATTTCATGGAATCCTCAGTAGTAGTTATTGAAAAAAATTATGGACATTGAAAAGGATTTTAAATTTACTGTAAGTTGTAAGCTTGATGTTCAAGTCTCCCTCGTCAGATTTTTTTCCCTCCCTTCCTTGCTCAGGGTGGGGTAAGAATTTATGAAGGTCTTAAATAGTACTGTAGAGGTGCTGGTTAAAGGTTCTCAAGATAGCCGCGAATTGCCAAATCTGCGAATAACATTTGCTGACCGTGGGGTGTACATTTTTACTTGTGTACAAAGAAAATATATTCCCTTTGTTTTTGCCCTTAGGACAATAATTTCTCTTAGCTATATATATATATATATATAATATATATATATATATATATATATATATATATATATATATATATATATATATATATATATATATATATATATATATATATATATATATATATATATATATATATATATATATATATATTACGAAAAGACCCCCTCGCTTAACTTAACACCCTCGTTAACGCAGAATTTCATTAACGAACCGCCTTCCATATGATCTCACCGTTAACGGTTCTTACTTAACCTGACCTCAACATGTTTTCGCTGGCACTGACCGGGCAACCAGCTTTAGTATCAGTCCGCCAATACATTAATCGGTTCTAGGGCTTAAATTCCTTACTATTTTAGTAAATATCAAGAAGTTTATACCATTCAATAATTTTTAAAAGTTTAATATTCAATTTTTTAGTCATTTTAACAATTATTGAACATAATTGAAGGTAAAGTGACTAGTTTAATGCACGGCATCCAGCCTTTAACACAGCAAACAGGTATTAGTGTGTCTGTTTTCACTGGAGGTAATATCTTGCTTGAGATTCTTCAATTAAATGCTTTTTTTCTGTTTCCAAGCAAATTATTGGTATTTTGTTATATTTTTTATATTGACAATATATAATGGTGCAGTGTTGATTTGAAAATAATCTTGAATTGGACCAGAGCTAAAATTTTATGGTGAGTATGGCGTCAAGGGACTTCTCTTCCACCCAATGCCTTCTCTTCTCCTTCTCCACCCCTATTCTAATTCCCATCATCATCATCCAGGAGCCTTCTACATAACCCTCAAAGTAAGTGTACTTTTCTACCTTTTTTGTCTAATTTAGGAAATTTTCGGTGAGCTGAACCAATTCAAAACCCATTGAAACAATGGTTTCGTAACGAATCCGACCTTCTGGAACGGACTGAGTTGTACGAGCACTATATATATATATATAT